CCGTCCACAAGTACACGAAACCAAGGAGTGTCATTTGACCTGCCACTTTCCCTTTTAGCCATAAATGTTCCTTGCACTCCTGCTTGACCCTTTGCCAGTCTGTACTTTTATGAATGAATGCCCCAATACCACCTCCCTTTCTGCTGCCTTCTGTTCTATTACAATATTCCCACGCGTAGTCCGGATTGTTCGGAGGTTGTTCCATGTCCCTGAGATGTGTTTCTACAAAACCGTATACCATCGGCCTCTCTTCCCTTAGCTGTTCTTCTATCTCTTCCCACTTCAGCCTGTTCCTACCACCCTGCATGTTAATATACCCTATGTCTGAAATGGCTCGGCGCTCGTGGCTACGTCTATTTATGCCCCGGACTCTACCTATCTTAGATATTGGTGCCACTTTAGAATCGTATCTGTCCATACTACCTGTCGAAGAGTCTCCCTGGTTGTTTTCCCCGTTACTAGCTATCCTGCACCCCGAAGGGCTCGCTTGCCCCCCAAAAAAGCTACTGCGCGTCCTGCAAGTCGCCAACCTAGCCGCCCATCGAAGTGAATTCTGTCTCGTTGAACCCCCCCCCCCCCCCCCACCTATGCACCTCTCTGTTTATTTCCACCACCTCAAAGCCTTTCTCTCGACTCATCCGCCATATCTCTTGGTTTGCGTTGACCACCGCTCTTTGCAGGTTGTTATCACGCACCGGTACCTCCGGTATCGTGCATATCACTACCTGAACCTTAGGAGAAGTGGCGCGCATGTCATCGACGCCTTTCGCCAGTGTGGCTGCTAGTCCTGCTGCATCTTCATTTAGGACATCGTTTAAACCGCCTGAAATTATCACGAGGTTTCGTCTATCGGCTGTCGTTTTGAGCTTTGCGCTCGCTTGCTTCATGACTGCTTCCAGCTTGCGTCCTGGGAACGCCCCTACTGCAACCCTCTTGTCACCTCTTACCCTCTCTTTGATGGCTTCTGTGCATCGATTTAAATTTGAGTCTCCGGCGATTATCACATGCTGTGACTTTTCCGGTGGAGCGTTCTGCACCTGGGGGCTACTTGCACCTGTGACGCCGGCTGCTTTGTTCCCTCCCTGCCCCACCACTACCTCGCTGAAGCTGGGCCTTGCGACAGTTGAACCGGCTAAACCTGTTTTTTCCAAGCTTGCTTGCTTTTCCTTCTCCACCGTTCTGGTTGCCGGTTCCCTACTGTTCTCTCGGTAGGTTGCTTCTTTGTTCAGCTTTGCTAGCGCTTCCTCGGCGGACTTCAGTCTTTCTCCCATTGCCCTCGTTTTCTCTTGCTCTGTCGCCAACGCAGACTCGAGCTCGGCGATTCTCATCAGCAGTTCACTCTGGGCAACCATCATTTTATCCATTTTTTCCTCGACCTCACATTGCCTACACTTCACGTCAGCCTCTTCTCCATCCGCTTCTACGCTTGGGTCCACTTTCAAACCCACTCCACATCCTGAACACTTTACGGTCTTTTTAACTATGCTTTTCTGCCACCAATTGTCCCTATACTCGATAATTACTAAACTCGAGCCCTGCACTACGAGAAAAAAAAAAAGAAAGTCTAAGCTCTACTACAAAAATTTGCGTGTTCAATGTACGCGCACCCCACGGAGTGGCAAAAGAAAAAAAAACAGCAACAAAAAAAGTCAAACACACACACCCACACTAACTAATAAATACCTGGTGACTGGCCCCCGAAAAAGCCGTACCATAAAATAAGTGCTACGAAGATTTCAACCGCTGCCTTATAATTATAAAGACAAGCTCAAACCATGCAAAAACACTTATCTGCGCAGTCGATCCGGAGCGCTCAAAAAACACGTCCATCCACCTTGACAGCCCGAACGGGCTGTCACGCACGTTAGACTTAAGCGCCATCAGGCACGTTAGACTTAAGCGCCATCTGGCAGTTTTCTTCGAAAACGAAGGCGTGCAGCCCGCGGAGAAAGATGCGCGCCAGTCTCGGAGCTAGGTGATAAGGTGTAGAACGCAAAGCGACGGGCAGGTGCCACCACCGTGACGTCGTAGCAAAGCGTTGGAACCAACTTTTTGAGCATCGCGTGGCACTGGCAGCGCAGCGCGCTTAACCGCTACATTCGTTAGAGTTACTTGTGTGTGCCTCTTCTAGTATAAAGGCAGACATACAAAACTTCAAAGTGTTGTTATGGCGCCTCAGATATGTGCAATAATTGTTTTTTAATTGACAATCGCACAACTATGAACGATAAACCTTGAGCGATATTGGTGGGCGCAACGAATGGGGTTGGCCGTTTAAGGTATTGTTATGGTGGACAAACAGACAAATGTACAGACAGACAGACAGACAGACAGACTAAAATTTTTTCGTCGAAAATATTGTGGTAAAACTAAGCCAAACGTGGGTCTAACCTCATTAACGAACATGTAACCAATAATTGTGAAAGGCTTCAGTGTCATGTCGGGTTTGACCCACTGCTAAACACTAGGGCCACACGTTTCAGCTTTCGCAGGTTGCGGAGTGTTTGGGAGTGAGGAAAACTTTATTAAGTTCACAAGAGACGCGAGTTAACTCAACGTTACCTGGCTAGGCCCACTCGGGGGCGGTCAGGTTGGTTATATTTCATGGCGTTGATTGCCTTGCCGCCTGCATGTATGGACAGACACGCAGGTGGCTAGTTTTCTGGCTGAGTCACCATAGAAATGCTGATGGATTTAAAGCTCGCTATTCTAGTGTTTTAGTTGACAAAACTAAAGCACATAATTACGAGGAAATTTAATATCGACCCAAAGAGAAAAATTATCACAACCATTTTTTGTTCACCTAGATAATGACATGATGCAACATGAAAGAAATGTAAAAGCTCTTGGAGTTAATATTTTTTTTTTTCGGAGCATTTGACTTGGAGTGAGCATATGAATACATTTGATTCAAAATTTTTAGCGCTATTGGAGTGTTATCAAGGGTGCGACACATGTTTTCAAAGAAAGTTGGAATTGTAATTTATATTTCTACTTCACAATACCCTCAATTTTGTCTACTCAGAGCAGTGCATTCTTGTATGGATTACAATTGGCCTTAAAAATCTAAAAAGTTGCATATGCTTGAAAAGAGAGCTGTCTGGTACATGGCAAATGCGCCTTATACTGTAAGTCTATATCTCATTGGACTACAGCTTAACATTCATGTAGAGGTTTGTCTATTTGTATACCAGATTCAAGGAATGGTGGGCTGTATTCTCCCTAGGTTGTATGGTTGCTGTACGTAGTCATTGAGACTTACAGTGCTCAAACAATGCAATCAACTCGCTAACATTAACTCCAATGCTTTTGTTGCATATGATATAATACAGAGATCAAGAATTACTGAGTGGCCAATGTCATCTCTGAGTGGCATGGCATGCATTTTGTTAATGTTTACTATATGACAACCCGTGTATTTCTTATCCTTACAATTTACGTTCATGTGAACGTAATGTGTGTAATAATTGTTTGTATAACTATTGTATAATTGTTACCTGTTATTAAATGTGTCATTTTAAGTGCTCTAATGTACTTATTTTTCATGACTGCCCAACGCACTGTCATGTGCAGGAGTCAGGGTCATGTCAAGCCGCTGGAGGGGCTGTTAGTCCCGTCCCCTCCATTTTTGACAGAAGAAAACAAACATGAACAAAAAATCAAATAAGGCATGTTGTAGTGGATTAGTGTCGAGCGCTTTCGTTTGACAAGTGCATTTTTTAGTATAGCTAATGGAGTGTTTTCTTATTTTCCCACAATAGAAATACGGTGACATTTGTGACATGTTCATTGGCTAAACCAAAACAAATGTATGCACGAAACAACGAGAACACTGCAAAAGATGCAGACTTTTGTTCAGCAGGTACAGTGTCACAAACGGCTCCAATTTTCGGAGCATCCGCGGGCCCCACCTTCAAGGAGGGGCGCTTTTGCGTTGGGGGACGACATCCGGCGACTATAACGACCCAACGTGGCGCCGGCTTGTCTTCCCTGCACCGGTACCGGAAGGGGCACCGGCGATCTAAACAAGGAATATTACTCCCAGATGAGACGGGAGCACGTGTACGCCCCTGAGGCGGTTTGAACTGCATCGCAAGAGCAGTTGACGTACAGACAGCAACAAGTGCGGTCGTCGGTGTCGCGAGTCTCGCGTAGGCGGCGAGCACGGAGTGACCCGCGCAACGTATTGAGACGGCTGCGATTCCGGGCACCCTCGTCGTCTACCAAGCCGGCGAGACCTTCAGCGGCACCCGTCAACTCCCCTACGTGCACCAAGGGCTGGTTTGGTCCGTATGGAACTTTTTATTGTGACTTTTTTGTTAAACCGTAAACTTGTTTTAACCAGCCTTTTTTTTTAAATATTTGTAGTGTGCGCTGCGTCGCACGTTTAAATTCTAAAGCGCCACCATGATCATTCTGTAATTAATTTCTAGTGTCTCTCTCCTTTGATTTCCATCTTGTTGTTATTTTATTAATGTTCCGCATATTTGTCTTTAGTCTGTATCTTTTGTAGTGTTTTTTTAGCATATTTTGTTATATAGCTGTTCTTTCCTTTGCGTATCAGTGTTACTCCTCTCTGTTATTTTTCTTAACTCCTGCCTTTGCCAGTGTTCCAATTAAATGCTTGTTTATGTGTAATCGAACTCCGTGCCTGCTCTATGAGTGCGTCGGTCAGGCCCACACATCACCACACGTGCAACCCCGCACGGGTCGACCAACCCGCAAATAAATTCGAAATGTGCCACTTCGAGGCCTTTCAGGCGTCGCAGGCCGAAGCGTAAAGTGGAAGCCTGCGAGTCTGCCGCACGTCGATGTTGGATCGGCGGGGCCTCACTCGAAGTGTGTGACATACAGAGAGGCAATATTCTTTGATTTCGCAGACCTCAATGTGTTGTTACCAATCAGTGTGAAGTAGAAGGGCACACACTATTACTGCAAGAAGATTGCAGTAGGCACAAGCAGGCAATAATCAAGCCGTACGGAAGAATCTGAAGTCTACATCTGGTTTTTATAGTTCTTTATTGGGACAAATGCTCTCTTACAGTTGCTATAAATGATTTGGCAGCTATAGAATCCTTCTATGCAATAAATATTCAAACATCCATTCAGACAACACTTTATATATAACTGTTAACATTGAATGCGAGTTTGAGTGCAGTTGCTGGAGATTCCCAAAACACAAACCAATGCCACCAGAAAGACATGGTATTAGCACTTTGTGGCATTTGGAAGTGCTGAAATCTAGCCGCAGACTCTCACCTTTTCATACCCTGCTCTGAACGAAGAATGTATAGAGTTCACTCCTTCATGCATTGCTCTTTCTGCCTTTTATTTGGAACATTATTATTAATTAACCTTCTCACAGGGATTGTTATTTTTAGCTATTATTTTTCAGAGTACCATGAACCACAGTAAAAATAATTTACTACTTCAACTGTGCTTATAATTCTAAAACTTGAAGTAACCCTCATAACTCTTAAATACAAACTTTGACTTGTCCTAGCTGCTTGCCCTAAAATGTGCAATCAGTACCGCCTTATCTTGACTCAGTATGAAAAACAAAGCAGTAGGCTTGTCTAGCAGATATTGATTAGACCAGTGATAACCTGCAGTTTAGGAACACCACAGAAGAATCTCGAATATGTGGGCAGACACGAAACTCGCTAGAGGCAGTTCAATAACCCTGAGTCATATATTAAAACATTGTAAGAATGAACTCGTGCTGAGGAAGAAAAGCAATACAAATAAAAACTAAAGAAGAAAGATCGCCCCACTCAGTTATGGGGAATGCCTCGCATCAATGGATGACCAGCAGTTCAATGAAATTGGCATAATTTTAAAAATATATGGTGTGCATAGCATAAGCAATCGCTAGCAAACATCAGTAAATAAGGTCAAATTTGCTGCCTTCAAAGTCCCTCAGTGCCTTTTGCACTTGAAATAATAAAGAGCGGGCCACTTATATCATAGTACGGGCCACATAACTCAAGCCTTCAAACAAGCAATAAGCATCTTGACAATGTAGCATCAACTGCAGGAAAACAAGTTTAGCTATCTGATGGACTGACAGAGAGCATTATCGAATAGAACACATTAACAGTATTCCATTGACCCCCTTGAGAAATCGTATTCTTTAACAGCTGTAGAGTCAAGGTAACACTACTGCTGGTCATGCTATCCTCACAGCTCTGGCCATATTTGCTCAAGTGCTACTTCAAATCAGTTAAATTTTTACTATTTCGCCAATTCCCTCTCAAGCCACAAAAGCCACGAAAGTCAATAATTCCCAGCCCATGGCATTATGGACCATAGTAAAAATACAGACAGTATGGATGCAACACAAATGCTCAGGCACAATATGGCTAACTACAGCCATCATGCATTTGACATTTTTGCAAAAAAATCGTCAATAAGAAATCATGTTTTCTCAAAAGTACAACTTGTCTAAAGTTTGGCACAGGCATCATTGACGACAAGTTTGAAAATCGGTGAAATATAGACACAGATTCACAATCCGTGATCACTGTTATATAACACGAAACATTGTTTCTTGCCCATTTTTCCGGCAAACGAAGTAAAGTTCGACTGCTAATAATACTAAAAAAAATTGAACAATCATTCATCTACTTCTATTTGTACGCTGATTCTGTTGAGTTGGCTGTGAAATAAATATGTTCCAGAGAACAGTAATACACAACATTGAGAACAGCAAAGGTAGTGGGACAAATGACATATGGCGACTGTAGATGTCGAAATGTATTTCGTCTCATCACCCGTGCAGTTAGCAATTATGGACGTAGCCCAGCCAGCGCAATGTAGAACTTGAACACAGCAAGGTGTTGCAACAAAGAAGGTTGAAGATTGTCAAAACACCGAGGGATGAAGGTAAGGCTGGTATGCGGTCGGCATTAACACGACTGCACAACCACTCAGCACAAGCTAATGTGCACAAACCGATGTCACTTCCCGCACAACAAGGCTGTCAACAGATGTGCATTGTATAGAGGTGTAAGGCCACTGACCTCAGTATATTTACCAAGACAAAGAACAGCAGTTCTGCACGTTCAGTAAGGAAATTGATAAAAGAAGCTGACTTGTTTGTTTCAGCTAAAACAAAACTTTACCCTCCATCTGCTGTGACCAGCATATTTTTCAGTAAGGCATTAACCAGTAAGCCCATCTTATTTAGTGAAATGTATCAACTAAATAGACTATCTAAAACACAGAAACACGACAAAAAAAACAGAGACAGGAACCGAGTACTCTGGTGTATTACAAGGTGACAATGAAAGACTCACACTGAAGCGAGTTCATGATTGTCACATCTGCAGCATCTTTTACATAAATTAACCAAGTTCTTGAAGTGACCACCAGCTTGAGCACTCTGTTTACTATGCTTGATGACATTACAAATAATGAAGTTCTCTTGTTTGGGCACCTGGTAGGGCATTTCCCAATTCAGGAAGCGTTTTAACCTAAGTGGTTTGTGTTCAACATTAAAGACGGCTTTGGCATGAAACTACTGCACATTACAGGAACAACATGCCAGAATAAGCTCTGTCATCAATATAACCAGCTGAAAATCATATGAAAATTTGCCCTCTTCAACTCATTTTTGAACAGTTGCAAAGATATTGGCTAAGCAAGCCCTCACAATTACCACTGCTCAAATCAAGAGCCTCACAGCATCCTGTCAAACAAAGATTATGGAAAAAAAAAGGTTTTTAAAATTCAGAAAGTAGGCAATTAAGAACATACCATGCAAATTCTGAATGCGCTTTTGTTATTTAGAACATACATCACAGACAGTTAACTTAGGAAATTATTTGGGAAAGCGGGGATCATTGATACCGAACTGAAAGTTGCCACGTGTCTCGTTGTACAAAAATACCGAATGGTTACTCCAAGAGATAAGTAACACAATTACCAACTAGGCCAGACACAGACGATTTAAAACTAGATTCACTAACAGTAAGAACTATATTTACTAACCCAGGTGTTCTACAAGCTAGAACAAACAGATCGAGACATTACCAGGACGCCTCACAATACAACCTCGCACTGCTAGATGCGCCATGCATCTCTGATGTGGATAACCTGCATCACACTATAGCCATTTCAGGATAAAAAAACATACATCACGCACATACTCCATGCAAACCTTTCTGCTGCTTTTGTGCTATAGGTGTATTTCAGGCTGTACTCACTAGCCCTAACTCGAACAGATCAAGGTTTTTTATAGTACGAACCCACTAGATATTCCAAAGATGGATTGCAAGCACTCTCAAGGTATCAGATCCCTCTACACAGAAACTATAAGGTAACATGACAGTGCGAGAGCTTTGCAACTCCGACTACATCAGCACTAACAGGTAACCATAATGTGAAAACTTGGTCTAACAGTGGCAGGTTGTTTTCATGCTAACAATGTTATGCCACAGTACAGCACCAAGAATGCTTTTCAAAAGCAGAGTAACAGAAAAATGTGAGTGAACACTGTCAGTGTATGGAAATGGTGTTCAACACCAAGCAGTTATTGTACTGCAGTTTTTGAGAACTACACATAAGAAAAGTTCAGATGGCCAACTGTAATAATTATAACAAGGTGGGTAAAGAATTGTAAGTTGGAGATACACTGGATGCCTAGATTGCATGAAACAACCAGAAGTAAGATTTAACATTTTAAGCAGTCACCATGCAGTGACAGTATGACACTCTCGCATTTCTATTAGCATTATCCTAAGGTTTGGAAGTTTCAGAACCTGTTCTGCGGTGGCCCAAATGTTGTAGTGAAGCATGTTGTACGACAGCTAATGTACCAATGGATAAATGTACGAGCATGGAACATATTTGAGCACAAGATGGGAGACAAGTCGACAAGTGACTAAACACTAATTTAGTATCGTCTTTTCTGCTCAAATCTATTCCAGACTATGAGCAAATGTGCAGCAACGTATTTTATTTGTATAGGTACATTCTGTGTGAATCATGTGAAGCAAGAAATGTACTCAATTTCATGGCACATGAGGATAATATGTAAAGTAATTAACATGCTAACAGAGTGAGGAAAATGCTGCATCGATACAACTATAGCAAATTACAGCTTTGTGAGAGAGCAAGGAATGTGTTGCAAGATACACTAACTTAAAATGTCAATGCGAGTACCGCTATCAAGGCATAGCCAAGACCCATTTTACACTAAGGGAAATAATGATTATGTTCTCAACTTGTGTATCACAGGACTGCTGTGTGTTCTACAGGATTGATAATGTTAAGTGTGTGGTGGCAGCCCTGGCTGTAGAAAATCAGCTGTTAGATACGTTTGCGTAGGCCTGACCTTTTGAAGGTATGCAAGAACACCGCCATTCAAACGAATCTGAACGCGCCTAATAACAAACGAAAACCAAAACCACTCCCAGCTGTTGCAGTAGTGGAAAAACTTCAGTCCCACCACTTCACTATGCAAGTTCAACCGACAGGTTAACTCGCAAGTCGATTTCTGTATCAGCATAGCCCTGCATATCTGCGAGAAAGACGGCCAGATGCCGAGAAAAGTCAAACGCAACGCCATCGACGACTACGTACGATGAAAAACCTCGGTTCCCCCCGCATGCACTACCGAAATTTAAAGCAAGAGGCAACCAAAATTACACGAAACGGACTGTTCGAGAAACAATGCGACGAATTTAAGAGGACGACGATGGAACGTTCTATATGAGAGCCTCGGGTTGCACCTTGAGCAGGGTGTCGGCGTACTGTAGCTCGCAGCTGTTCTCGTACTCGCACATGTCCAGCGCCACTGCGCAGCTCTCCCTCACCAGTGGCTCTTGGTCGGTTTCGAAGCGGCGCAACATGTCGAAGCAGTCTCCGGTGGCGATGGAGCCTAGGGCCTCGGCGCACTCGTGACGCACCATGCCGCACTCGCGCTCGTCAGCCAGCACTTCACCCAGGCGCTCGACGGCCGCCTCGTGCCTCGCCTGGCCCAGCACGTAGGCGACCTCGTGGCGGAACAGCGCGCTGCTCGGACAGCGGAGACCCTGGGCCAGCGCCCGTATCGCCGGCTCGCTGCCTTCGTTGCGCAGCGAGAACATGGCGCGGTATCGTTCGAACAGCGGCGCCGACTTGTCCATCAGAACTCGCGCCTGCTCCTCGACGCCTCCCCCGTCGTCCGGCAGCAGCGGTGGCGCGGGATCCACCGAACTGTACGGACTGTCGGCGAACGCCTCGAGCTGGCTCTCGGCGCTTGACAGCCACGCGATGCGAGCCAGCGCTAGCTGACACGTCTCGGCCACCACGGCTGTCTCGTCGCTGACGAATTCGCTCAAAACGTTGACGCATTCAGGCTCGCCGATGGCTCCGAGCGCTTCGGCGGCTTCGTGCCTCACGATTGCTTCTTCCTTCTTGTCTCTCAGCAACTTCTCGAGCGTCGGTATGGCGCGGGGGTCGCGCATCTGGCCCAAACAGTAGGCGCACTCGTGCTTCAGCAGCGCCGACGGATCCGTGAAGCAGCTGGCGATGCACTCGATGGCGCACTCGCCACCCAAGTTGCGCAGCGTGAAGAGAGCCCGAAAGCGCTCCTTCAGAGGTCGGCCACGATCGTTTAAAACCTTTCCGACAGCCTGGACGGCCGCATCTTCCACGTGCTTCATGCCTGCAAACTTCCCCGTTGTCAAAACGAAATCAGCGAGCCGAGGAATCGAAACACCGCAAGATTGCCGCACCGAATTAAAGATGGCGTCAGATGCAACTGGATTGGATTGGATGTGCCGGCTAAACATTGTATTAAGACACAGAACACCACCTTTCCTTCCTCCGTGCTATAGTGCCTAGAATAGACTTTTATATTCTAGACACTGTATCCTTTTATACTTATAATATATACTTTTATATTCTAGACACTGTAGTATATTTCTAGACACTGTATCCGTGCAGAACACCTATGATTAAAAGCCTTGTTGTCGCTCATGGTTAAAATGCAATATGCGGGTATGTGTTTCGGCTTTCGGTATCTATTTTATTTTGTTCATAAAGTTTTAAAAGTTATTGAAATTTGGAGATTGTGAGCTGTTTCTTTGCTCATGACATGCATTGACTAAAACAAACTCTTACTTTTTTTTTAGATTTCTGGCTTTAATATTAAAAAGAAAAAATAACTGTTTTACACTTTACCGTTAAAATTTTGTAACCCTAAAACACCCCTCTTACCATGATACAAGGCTTGGTAAGCGAGGAAACGCGTCAACAGAAAATACAGGTGGAGACGGTACCTTGAGATTCCAGCACCAGACACCCTGACGTCATAAATTCCGAATGTGCCTACAATCAATCAATCAATCAGTTTTATTGTGTATCATACATTTAATGGCTAGTTATTATTATACAGGTAGGACCCCAGAGCCCAGTCAAGGCAGTTGCAGGGGTCCGTTTTTTTAACAGTAGTAGGTACTGCTGAGCTATAGACCAACAGATGGTAAGTAGGATCCTACGTTGCCTTTATTCAATGAAATAGACGTAAATTGCCATCAGTGGGCGCCAAAGACCTAGCATACAAAATACAAAAAATTAATTGAGGCAACGTTGCGAAAATACGAAAAATACATTTTGTTAGTTTACACGTCACGCCTGAAGATGTCGGCGCGAAATTTAGACATGAAACTTCAACCTTGATTTCAGATCTCCGCTAATAATTGAACTTATGATAGCGAAACTTACAGCATTGAAGTTCTTGGAGTGCAGTTTTTCAATCTAAAGAAAGTCATTGTTTCTCTTTAGTATCCTTTTAATCTAAGGGCGTATTTGTATCCCACCTTTGCCAGACTGCGTTCGTAGATCGCAGTAGCAGAACCGAACGATGACGTCTCAGTTAGTTGTAACACACATTGCCGTGTATATTTATTTCAACATGGTACCGCAGATCCGGGAAAATGCACATCACAAAAAGGACACACATATGTGGTTTGCGAACGAGAATTTCTATGCGCGTGGCATTGCAGTTTCCAAAGGTAGTTATCATTAGTGTAGCGCAGCTGCCTAAGTTAAAGAAAGAAAGAGGTGCCATTATTCAAGAAAACGAAATATAAAATCTCCATCCTCGTAGTCTTGGATGTGGCTGCGAGAAAATAAATTACAAGAATGGAATTGTGCGTCACCCAGTTTGTGTTGACAAGAATTTGTTGGCATTAAAGTATGAAACCTATGCCACTGCTGACTTTCACAAGCTAAAAAAAAAAAGACGTTCAAGAGATAAAAAGAAACTGGCGCTTATATTGATTACCGCCTTCTCTGAAGATATACGTGAGCGTACGAATACATTCACCAGCTGGACTTACTACTGTAGGAAAGAACAACAAAAAGACATATGTGAAATGCGCGACGTATGAAAGAATTTTATAATCTTCATACGTCTACATTCATAGTCCTCTTGTTTTTGTGCGAGCTGGCTGGTAGAGTTCATGAGTAAGTGTTCGAACAAGGCTGCCTGCGCACTTCAACACAGCAAGACTGTGTATCGGGTGCGCGTATCTTTTACTCAAGGATCGACACTGAGAGCTCTCAGGAGAATAGCTTCCTATCAGTCTGCGAGGCCATTCAGGTCATCTCCTCGGGGAAGTACACTTGCCTATGCAAGCACGTTTCTCTAGCTTACACGAAAGTAAAAGCGTCGACCCGATAAGAACGCGACTATCTCTCCCATACATTATCAATGCTGCGAGGTCGTGGTGTCGTTCGCATGACTACATAGTCTTATCGATCGCGGAAGAATTAATCACACACATGCAACGACAACATGTCGACTTGCTGATGATCATTAAAATGTTACCTTCAAACTTTATTGCCAAATGATTCCTTCTTAAGCGAGCCTAAGTTTTACAGGAATATTTATCATTATTATCTAGAAATATGGCAAAACTGCATTTGCCATGTATCATGTTCACCAGCACTGGACCTTCATAGATATAAACTTCAATTTATTTGAGGGTACCTTAATGTCGGAGCTTAAAACTTCCGGTGTGAAAATTAGCATTTTTATTCGTTTCCGTTTTTTGAAAATGCATTTCGCCCAATTAATCTTCCAGCTAAGATAAAATTCTTCAAGTAAATGTTTTGTCTGAGTGATTGAGCAATGCATACTTGATTCATTATCTCTTTTTTTCACAATTTCCGCTAACACAATTCTCAAAGAAAATCCAGGATACACTTGCGAAGTAGTGATACATGTGGGAAGTGCGAAGTACCAGACTTCTTTTGACGTGCAATTAATGAACACAGTTCATCAGAATTATTCCACATCGTCTTGGTGCTGCTTTGGGATATCTCACTGAACTTAAAAGTTATACGTCACTGGGCTTACAAGCACGAACACTGAATCACTAAATACTTGTACTTTAACTTTGGATAATTAGTCATAAAATGACAGAAGCGAGCTAGAAATGCATAATTACTCATCATACCCGATTCAATGAATCCTTTGGCCATGGCCTGTGCGATGCGCCCGGCACCAAGAAATCCAATAGACATTTTATATTCCGTCTCTTGTCAGCACGCACATACAACGTCTTCCAGCGTTGGAGTAGAAAGTACAATGGTATCCGGCGGTCACTGCGTGCAGTTGCCAAATCTGCGAGCGCAAGCGGATCTTCCGGTATCTGAAACTGAAACTGGAACATGGATGGATGGATGGATGGATGCTATGAGCGTCCCCTTTATAACGGGGTGGTGACAAGTATGCCACCAGGCTCGACAATAAAAAAATCTTTTTTTCTTTTTTTTATGTTGGCCTAATGCCTCTACTTCGATAAATTCTATCTTAATGGAAAAAAGGTAAATTTTCAGCTTAAGTTCTCTGCCATTTACGGCACACTGTCCATATTTTATTTTTCCAATATTTAGTTTTGTCCTTTCTCTCTAATTTTCTGCCACCAATACTCTAACCGTCTCTTACTTATTTCAATCGCGGGTGTGTTCAGCTTTCCATTGTTGTCCCTAAAACCCAAGGCTTCCTGTAGGTTCGTGCCCAAACGTACACCTGGGTGGATATCTCCACATTCAATCAGAACATGTTCCGCCGTTTCCTTATCTTTCCCGCAGCATGTGCATTGTTCTTCTTCTTTACTGAATCTTGCTTTATAACTACGCGTTCTAAGGCAACCCGATCTCGCTTCAAACAGTAAAGCGCTTCCCCTTGAATTATCGTAAAATGCCTCCCTCCTTATTTCATTTTTGCCCTTTCGGTAGTTACTCAAAGCCGGTTTTTTCTCCATAGCTGCCATCCAGTAAATCCTCTCCGCCTCCCTGACTTTTCCCTTAACGCTCTTTGTTGACATATGGCTCACAATACCAGCCGTATATTTACTAGTGAGTCTTCTAGTTCTTTTTCTCCACTGTGTGTCCACGCTCTTCCTATACAAATAACGGAACACCTTCTCTGCCCATCTACTCTCCTTCATATTTCTTAGCCTTTCTTCGAACCTTATTTTGCTCTGCGCTTCCCTCGCCTCAAAACCTGCCCACCCCATATCGCCCTTTACAGCCTCGTTTGTCGTCTTCCCGTGAGCACCCAACGCGAGGCGTCCCACAGTCCTTTGATTTACATCCATTCCCGATTGCACCTCTGCCTTCATGCACACCACTGAGTTCCCAAAAGTAAGCCCTGGAACCATTACACCCTTCCACAGACCTCGAAGCACCTCATACCTATTGTATCCCCACAACGCTCTGTGCTTCATTATTGCCGCATTCCTCTTTCCTTTTGCTGCCGAGGCTTTTTCCTGTACCTCCATGTATCTATCACTCTCATTTACCCATACTCCAAGGTACTTGTATTCACTTACCCTCGGTATTTCTTGGCCTTGTATGGACACCGTCTGATCACAGGGATAATTGAATACCATCAAACCACACTTCGTTACACTGAATCCTAGTCCAAGAGCTTCACCTTCCCTTCCGCATATATTCGCCAGCTGCTGTATATCATCTCGACTGTCCGCAAATAAGACGATATCGTCCGCATAAAATAAACCTGGAAGCTTCTGCTCAATCATCATGCCGCCCTGTTTGTGTGACAGATTAAAACCAATGTTGCTACCTTCTAGCGCTTTTTCCATACTCACCATGTACAGCATGAATAACAGTGGGGACAAAGGACATCCCTGTCTCAGACCCCTGCTAACCTCAACGTTCTCTTTGCTACGCATTCCTTCCCACTCTATGCAAACTGTATTTTCTCGGTATATCTCCCTCAAAAGCTGTATACAGTCGTCGCCCATGCCCATTCCTTTCAATATATCCCACAAAATTTCCTGATTAACGTTGTCGTATGCCCCAGTGATGTCTAGAAAAGCCACGTACAAGGGCCTATTCTCTATTTTAGATATTTCTATACACTGAGTGAGAACAAACAGGTTATCGTCTAACCGCCTGTCGACTCGAAATCCGTTCTGAAGTTCTCCCAAAATATCGTTATGTTCGGCCCATGTTTCTATTTTCATTTTCACTGCTTGCATCGCCAACCTGTATAGTACCGATGTAATGGTTAGTGGTCTATACGAGCGAATCTTGTCCTTTTCTCCCTTGCCTTTATAGATTAAGTTCATTCTACTTTGTCGCCAACTGTCCGGTATTTGTCCGTCCTTTAAGCTTTTTTCTACTGCTTTTAACAATGCTTCTTTAGTGTTATGTCCTAGTTCGTTAATGAGGCTAAATATCCTAAACTTAAAAGTTATACGTCACTGGGCTTACAAGCACGAACACTGAATCACTAAATACTTGTTGAACAACGACGGCGATAGCAGCGCCCCTCGAGGCCTAAAATATGTTGCCATAGCAACCAATAGCAACCGTTATGGCGGATGTCACGAAGCTGCGGGTGAGTGTGCAGAACGCCGGCTGAATTGGTGTTCGCAGTTATCGGCTTTCTCATTGGGGCAATAACAAACGACTTTGATGTCGCCTTGTCTTTGGCGTAATCAGAGTTTCTTGTTGTAGAGCAACTGTCGTGCGAATAGCGGGAATGTACGGGTGGCGTGCCGTTCCAAAGAGGTCGCCATGCACACATCGCAGCTGTCGCAAGCTAATGAATGAAATTTTATCGCGAAACTCAGCGGAGGGGGCTACTAGTTAAACGGGATATTTAGTGTCGTACCGGCGTAAATACTTAATTGCTTTCACTTTAAATAGGCGCGTGAGACAGTCTCAGACAGCATCAACTACGATACATAAATTATTAAGGGATGGATAGCCAATGGATCACGAGTCGTGCTGGTTTAGAGTAGTAAGGCACTCCTAAAAAGACGGTATGAACAAGTAGCAATCACTTGTCACTTTTCTACTCCTCCTGACGGCGCAACATCAAATTCAGAAAAATATAAGCTCGACAGGAAGTGCTGCTTCATAAATTTTATCCAAAATAAATTCTGTTTACGCTGCAACAGAGTAGCTTATTAAGTATGAGCGTTCGATGACACTTTGACAACAAAAATGTATTTTAAAATGTGCATAGCGTTGTAGAAGGTACACTATATTTAAGCGACTTAAAGGTATCGTAGTCTAACAGAATGGTTTTCTTTTTCCCAGGTTCTTTGCCTACATGGTTACAGGTAAGTGACTGCTGTTAGAGCAAGAGAAGGGTCTAGTTTCCTTTATTTGATTTATTGATCGAATCATTGGGTTTAACATCCCAAAGCAATGCTGCTTTTGCACACAGACAGCGTAATAGTTGGGCTGCGTGTTAAATATGTTGTGTTATCAAATACAAACGATCGAGTTGCTGCTGACCATTTGAGTATATGAATACCAATGAGGTCTATTTGTTAAGCTGCCGTTCATATTTTCCTATGGCGTGAACCTCTGTTTTGTCATCTAGCCTTGTACTGCAAAGGTGTTTTCTCATACCATCCGCTTCGGTTACATAACACAAATTTTAGGTGCCTAGAATTGTTGAAGGTGCAAATTAAAACATGGGTTGAGAAAAAGACAATCTTAATTGTTTGCACACATACTGTGCCCTTCTTATTTTGATGCACCATTTAATATTGCTGATTTATCAAATATTTCCTCACTCCGATTCCTACGGGTTCTACATCATATTCATTAGTTCATATATATTGTGATGAGCACTGATGACTAAGATCAGCGGAATCGGGGCTCTGGGTGCGAGGAGCTAGCTGGAAGAAGCAGAGGAAGACGAAGTACAGAATAAGAACAGCTGGCCCAGGATCGGGTGTTGTCTCTTGTTCTCTGTCTAGTACATTACAATTGTGCAATCGACGAAGAAGAAGTCTTACCTCCCGGATTCGTCATCCAGGACAGCTGCCAACCTGCAACCACGATAAGCGCCGCTTGAGGACGGCGTCAAGGCCTCCTCGGCAGCTGTTCACCTGCCGCCACTGCCACTACCGTTCGGGGACGGCGTCAAGGCCTCCTCGGCCGCTGCAGTACACGTTACCGGTACCATTTCACAACAAGGGACGTCGTCCACGCGTCCTTGGCTATAGATTCTGCCGTCAGCGAGTCCGAAAAGTGAACCCTCTGCGGGAAGCCACCGATACGTGTCTTCGTGGTTCGTCGGCAGTGCGGGCTTCTCCATCAAGGAACGCCGTTCACGCTTGCCTTAGCGATGGGGTCCCACCCGCCGCTTCAGCCACCCTTCAGACCACCTGTGGACAGTGTCCAGGCTTCCCCTGTGGTTCTAGGCCATGACCTGATTTAAACCATGCCATCGTTTCACGGCAGGGATCCACACCGGCTTCTGTCCTTTGAGAATGCTGCTCACGCTTCCCATGGCCTTCATTCCCATTGCAGTACTCTTCCAACATACGAACTGCCACTGAACGCCGTCCAGGCTTCCCTGCTCGTTAATCTCGCTGGCCTAAGTAGTGCAACCGCTACTTACTTGAAGACCGCGATCGCTGACTCTTCGGGCTTCACACCAGACAGCGCCGCGGACCTGTGGCGTACCATCACGTTACTCCGCGTCGAGGGTAACGAACTTACAGCATTCATCTGTGAGCGAGCTCCTACAATGTTGCCAGCATTGTGTGACATTAGCGCAGGGTTGGATGTAGCTGCCTCACACGACCTTGAGGCAAGCAAACCGGAGCAACGCAGGGAGCTTCGGTCTTCTCTCATCGAGCTCTCACACCAGCTCGACTGCTTCGCGTCGGTGATCTCTGCGTTGCCACCTGCCACCTCACAATCACCAACCGTCTGCGAACTACCAGAATTCCACGGGGTCCAGAACGACGCCGACAGCTTGGTGGCAACCGTCAACGCGATAGCAATGCGCGAGGCCTGGACAGAATCTCAGAAATGGACCGTGGCTGTAGACCAGTCTTCGGGAAGGTGCAGCGGCATGGCACCGGTATGAAGGCTTGAAGCAGCAGTCCTGGGTGGAGTGGAGCTCCAAGCTCATAGCTGCCTTCGGCCGGACACTCTCCGATCTCCCTTCCACCACCCAGTTCAACCTGACGACTACCGAGAATAAGGCGCAGGAGGGTTTCCGCCTCCAGGTTGCAGTCATGCGTTGCAGTTCACTTGAGCTTTCGAACTCTTTGCCGCAGTCCAATTCAAGTTAAGCTCAGCCAAAGACCACTATTGAAGATGGGCCTCGGGAAGGACGTCACTCAAACGGCATACCCACACTGAACCATCCCGAATGTGCAGCTGTACCCTGCATAAGCTTTAATGACCTCTTGGCTGAACTGCTCCGCAGGGTACACTGAAACAGGCTCCAAGGCAGGCGTCGCTCTTCCGATGCCAGGTTCCACACCAGGACTTATCTCACGAACTTCCATGCCAGCAACCAATGCCATTTCTAAGACAGAGCTGTCGGAGACAACCGTGGATAGCAAGGAGACAATCTTGGACCAGTGTGTACCACATCTGCTGTCATTGGCCGAGCGTGTGAGCTACATCGATGCGTTCTAGACAGAGAGAGCCAGAATCGGCTTTTCTGGCAACATGATGTATGATCTTGCGGACGATGACAAGCACGTCATTCTGACTCCCAACGTACAACCTGAACGTCGCGCAGACCCCCATGAAGTCATCACCATGGAAATCGCCCCTGATTGTTCAGGCCATGACCAGCTCGGTCAAAACAAGAGTGATAACAGCAAGGAAGCTGCGGGCACGTCGCATCATGATTGTGTCCAGTGGCCTGTAGGCGCTCGCACTCACCCTCTGTTGCGCAAGCATTTTCCGACTCGGCATTCAAATGTGCATAAAAACCACACCACCCCACTCAGATGACATAAATGTCTACTCGGCAGGCAACGACTGCTCCAACACACCCACTGTCGCCGACCAAATCTCTACACCGTGTTACAGCGACGTAAAGACAGACTGCCGAGGTACAACCAGTTTCATACCCCCGAGTCTCCATCGACCAAGGTGCGAGTGAATGCCAATGCCCAACGTCAGCAACGACACTGTGGCCAACCAAGGCAACAAATACAGTTTCAGCGTGCCAAGTCACAGCCTAGACGGGTCCGGCCCAGGCGAGGAAGTCAATGCCACCCGCCAGAACTGTTTTCATCAAGTCTTCCGAACACGTCGAACCTTGGGCGAGATCAACCGCAGCGACAGAACTTATTCCACTCGTCGCAAAACACACTGGGAGCGTCGCAACATGGCCGAGGTTATAGACCGCCGCAACACAAAGTCGTAACCCAGAGTCGCTATCGGCAAAAGTTTACGCCAAACCTCAGCAAACCTCGGCGTCTTAACCGACATTTCGAACGACCACGGCGACACATTCAATGTCGGTCACTGGATTTCGCTCCAAGATATTTTCAGACGAAGTTCAAGCGTGGAAGAGTCCGATTGATCACCACGATTCAGCCAACCGCGCCCACATGAAGCACTGTCGGCAGCTCCACGCACTCGCAGTCATGGCCGAGTGTGATGAGCACTGATGACTAAGAGCAACGGAATTAGGGCTCTGGGTGCGAGGAGCTAGCTGGAAGAAGAGGAAGACGAAGTACAGAATAAGAACAGCTGGCCCAGGATCGGGTGTTGTCTCTTGTTTTCTGTCTAGTACATTACAATATCTAGATCTTAAGTAACTTAGACACACTTTTTTGTATTCTTTTCTAAATTTTTGTGTCAATTCAACAAAGCGGCACACTGCCATTCTTATGCATGCAAGCGAAAATACCTGTTTTTAAAGGGGCCCTGTAATACATTCCTAACTCATCATAAGATGACCTGATCATTTGGACTCTGTTGCTTTATGAATGTTATGCTGCAGGGATTTTTCCAAACTCTCAAGTACTATCGGTGGCATTGTTGCATGGGGTGGATACTTGCTCTCTCCTTTCATCGCCCCACGTTTCAGTTTTATTAGTTACAAAGCATCGATTACATAACACTTGTATGCAGTTGAGGGTCCCAGAATGTAAATACTGAAAACGGGACCCTTAGTTAAAAACTATAACAAAAGTGAATTGAAAACAATTGAAAGAAGATTAGCAGGTTGTAATAAGAAACTCATACAAGGCAAAACAAGCAGCAACATGCTGAAACACTTAAAAGAAAAATGAAATAATACAATAGAACGAAAGGCACAATGCGAAAAATAATACAAAAAGTAATGCAATATAAAGTTGAATACGACACAGAAGTAATAAGAAATGAAAATATAAAATGTGCACAAAAAATTAAAAGGAAAATTAAAGTTTCACACAGGGAACAGAAATAAGTACATAAAATAAATGAGCACAAGTGGGAAAAAAATTACATACCATAACTAAGGTGAGCAATCAGTAGTTAAAAGGAAACATTTTAATGATGTTTTGAAAAGTGAAAATGAGGGCAAATATTTAAGTTGAAACAGCCAACTATTTCAAAGATGAATGGTAGAGAGTTTAGGTGTTTCTTTACCATAGTTAGTGCGAATAGGTGGTGGCAAGTAACTAATGTTAGAAGCAAACAAGGCGGGGTTAGAGTTCTTGAGCGGGCTACCTTCAATATATTGAAAGGAGAGCTGGAAATTAAGTAACTTATAAAACATTATACTTATGTTATACTGAAATAATTTGTTAACAGATAAAATTTTACGCCCATTAAGCAGGCTAAAGGCATCTGAACGCGAACAACTGTGAGTTATAATGCGTATGGCTTGATTTTGTATATGTTGGATGAATTGAAGATAACAATGATAGGTGTTACCCCTAGCGATTATACAGTAGTTAATATGCAAATGAATAAATGCAGAGTACAGTGAAAACAATGCAGGAAGGCAAAAATACTGACATGCCTTGATAAGCGCGTGGGTACCAAAGGCCGACTTCTTTTTAATGTAATTTATTTGAAGATGAAACTTCAAATGGCTGTCCTATGTCACACCTAGAAATACTGCAGAGTCATTCATGGGAATAGAATGATTTCCTTATGATAAGTAAGGAAAGTTTATTAGAGGCTTTGGATTGGGATGGAAAACCACAAATAAGTTTTAGATGAAATAATATGTAGTTCATTATTTTTACACCATTTGATTAAGTGGTCAAGTGCCATATTTAGATTATTTATTAATGAACTTATATATTTATCATTTACTGATATAGTTTTATTGTCTGCATACAACACATAGTGGCATAAATTAGTGATGTCCAGCAAGTCATTAATATAAAGAGAAAAAATTAACGGTCCCATAATTGAACCTTGTGGCACTCCTTGGCTAGTAAGTTTAGGAATAGAAAATGTTTCACGCCCGTATAACACATACTCTCGGTCAGTTAGATGATGCTTTAACAACGTTAGAGCAGGGCCTGTGATCCCATAGGCTTCTAGTTTACGATACAAAATTGTGTGATTAATGGTGTCAAAGGCTAAGGCTTGCGTGTAAGGTCGAGCAAGGTGGAACTGGCGAATTCATTCCCATCAAAACTATTCCTAATAAAATCTGTTGGACAAAGTAAGGCTAAATTAGTAGAAATTCCAGTCCGAAAACCGAACTGGCAAGATTTGATCATGTAGAATTCATCTAATTACTTAGTCTAGACACAAATAACTTTTCTATTATTTTACTTAGGGAGGGGAGGATGGATGTTACAAGTACATGGATGTTACAAAGGGTGGTCACAAGGAGGGACGAGGGTGATGTGTTGCCCAAAAGTACCTTGAGCTTTTTTCCTCCTTCCTTTGAATGCTATAATGGCTTGCCAGTGTGCTGTTCATAGAATCAACCAAAATCTACCAGACGCACTTGCTCTGCAGCTGGTGATGACATTCTGAAGTTGAAAGCAAGTGATTCTTTCAGTTATTTTCTGTTATATAACATAAAATTGCACACTTCTACACTGTAGTCAGTGGAAAAACGTTGAACTCAGATTACCAAAAATTCATGCTCTTTTCAGACTACGTACAAAAAGTGCTGTAGGGCCCTTTTAATTGTGGGATTGACTTTGCTAGTCTTCAAGTCACACATGTGCCTCATTATTTGACTCTGGTTTGAGGCACACTTAAATTTTGATGCTCATTTTCCTAGAGCATGTTGTTTAATTGCTCAGTTCATTTTTTTTTATACATTCTTTTGGGCATGGACTACCACTTCTACACAATCACAGTTCTTGAAAAATGTGAAGTCCTTGAAAGTGAGGGCATTGCAGATTCATGCAGCTATGTTTGAGATGGAAGGTGCTTATTGAAATAATCATCCGTAAATTGAATTCATTTTATTTTTGCATCATTTATTAATGTAGCCAAGAGAGAAGCTGGGGGGCTCAAATTCCCCCCTTCTTCAATTTTTTAATTTTGCTGGCCTAAAATACACATGTGCTCATGCAAACACACCACAAGCATAGATAAAGGATTGTTGAACTCCTGCTCCCCCCAAAAAATTCTAGTTGCACCCCTGATTCATGGATCGTAGTTTGCACAATACTTGATTTTTTGTTTGTTAGGTATGAAAATTGTGATAATTGACTGTATACACTTGCTATCCTTTTTTTGTTATTTTCACATGCTACACTTCCCCTCTATGGGGCTCTGTATTTTTGAGCATACAAGAAGTAGATAAGTAAAATGGTAACCATGACGTGAAAGCAGCATTGTTATCATTCACTGTGAAAAAGATGTGCTGTTTAACGATGGTACATCTAGTAAATATTTGCTGCAAATGTGTCTTGTATAGTTTCAAGTTTAAATGACACAGCCTACTCACTGAGAACTACTATAATGAATTGTTGTGTAGATTTTTTATGTCAAGCAATAGGAGAGCAGCACAAGAGAAATTATGTTAACTTTATGCACTGTTTTTGCAGGCAGGATGCTGCTGCATTCAAGTCCAAACTGGGAGGCTTCCGTAAAGCGACGAAGTCATTGCTAGACCTGGGTGAGTGGTCGCGTAAAGCTGTTTGTGTCGAGGGATAATAAAGGGCTTCAGGTAAGGAGTGACAAGTGGCATGTGTCTGTGAGAATGGCAGCAGCAATGTAGAGCAGTCTCGGGGGGTGCCAGAAGCTAGCACCCCTTATTCTAAAACTGGTCTTCATTTTGACAGCTGTGGTAATAGCAGCAGGTGTCATGCAACAAAAGACCAAAGGGGGCCCATTCACTGCACGGTGGTCACAGTGGGTGAACTTGGTGCTACCACTGATGTTGAAGTTGTATATCAATACTGCACATGCAGCTTGAGAGCCCACTGTTGTGATTGAGAGGCTGCCTATGCATTAGAATCCCCCATTATTGTTTCTTTCCTTGCTCCTTTGCAAGAGTAAACAAGATTGCTCTTTGACATATTTCTTTGAATCTCACAACTTAGTTGCACTTCTGAAAAATAGTGAACACAAAATTATCTTATCATTGGTCAAGCTGCACAATTGCACCAAGTACATGAAGTACATGGCTGTGGCTGCAGATAAAAGCAGTGGCAGTGCCAGGGTTTTTTATTAGGGGCACCACGCAAGTGGGTTCTTTCAGGGGGGAACTGAAGCATGGAACTTATGCGTTGTGTTTTCAATGTGCTTGCTCTTACGGGGGTAAAGGAGGGGGCCCAGGGGCACACAAGGATAGATGAATGAAAGGGTACAGATTTGATTGATTGATATGTGGGGCTTAACGTCCCAAAACCACCATATGATTATAATAGACGCTGTAGTGGAGGGCTCCGGAAATTTCTACCAACTGGGGTTCTTTGAAGTGCACCCAAATCTGAGCACACGGGCCTACAACATTTCCGTCTCCATTGGAAATGCAGCCGCCGCAGCCGGGATTTGATCCCGCGACCTGCGGATCAGCAAGCAGCCGAGTACCTTAGCCACTAGACCACCGCGGTGGGGCTGAAAAGGGTACAGACAAGTATAAATGGCTTCATTACTTAGGTGCTGTGGCCATAGTATCTGAAATTCTTCATGTCATTCATTTTGATGTAATCTGTATTACATTCAATGCCAACACACATTTCATGCTTTCTACAAAATATGTCTTAGAGTCTCTTTATGTTGTTAAAAACTATTTGATTACAAAACAGTGCTGAGAGTGGGAATTATAGATTCAAGACCCGTAGAAGTGATGAATGTTTTGTAGCGTAAGCTTGCTGCCGATTTTGGTTCCCCACCATGTCAATTCCAGCTGTCGTGGACATTGAGGAAAAAAAAATATGTTCAAGGTGTATTCGAACCTAGGTATTACTATTCTACAGATCACGGAAGTACTCTACTGCAGGTGAATTTCAATGCTTGAATTTTTTTTTTTTTTGAAAAAGTCCCTGCACAAGTGTCATGTATGAGAAGGAAATGCCATATATGACATTAAAATGAAGTGATGTATTGCATTGACAGACATAAGTTTGAATTGCAGAAGAGTAGAATTGCACCAGGCCTTGCACAATGCTAACTGTGTAACAAGTGGTTGGTTTACAGGGGCCCTGCAACACTTTTTGAGCATGGTCAGAAAACACTGCCGATAGGTAGTGCAAGCTCCAGAGAATGCGCGAGCCAAATATTATAGCGTAGCACATGGCCTGCAATCCACAATAAATTGTCAAAGTCAGCTAAAGATTGCTTTCTCTGCTCTCGACAAATGAGAGAGAAAGCTCAAAAATCACTCTTAGAAGTCCATCTATCAACCATTGGCTGATTTGAACATGGTGCGTTCAGTCGTTACAGGGATCGCCGCGAGAGGCCATGACTTCTCCACGCATGCGAGCGCGATCGCACTGAAAAAGTCTCGTATTGGAAGAAAAAAAAAAGAAAGAAGTGCTCAAGGTCACGAGGACCCCCTGGATCTTGGCTCATGCGATCTACCTTGTTTAGCTTCCAGCACTTTCTTCCGGATGAGAGAAGAATATGATTGTAGCATGCAACAAATCTTTGTAAATCCGCTCATACTGGATGGATTCTTAAAAGTTTTGCGGCGTTGAATTCGTGAAGCAATAAGCTTTTTTTGGTGAATCCATTCAATGGTTATTTGAAAAAGTATTTCAGGGCCCCTTTAAACCTTTCCACCTGTTACAAAAAGATTACCAATAATTCACCATCCTCGTCGTCATACACCACAGCAACAACTATGCATGCACCTTATTCCCCATTGATGGCAGCTTGTCATTTGTTCTTGGGTCAGCTATTTGATAAGTTCCCTATTCCCATCAATAGGAAGAAAAATTGTTTTCTTCCTTAAAATTAAAATTGTAATGAAAAACTCTCCACATAAGAAAAATTATCTATCTAGATTAGATTGAGCTGTAAATATTTCAGCATGGCATGGTGTAAATTTGAGCCAGAATGACAACGTTCTAAATCTAAATTTGAATCTGAATTGAACCAGAATCTAAATTTAAACCAGAATGATGACTTTCTCAAATCCGTATAAGTTTTTTTTGTTGTTGTTGTAAGGTATACAAACTGCTGTGGTCTGAAAACATTTGTAATGCAAAATATACTTTCTATAAAGTAGGTATTGATTACTCAGATATTCATAGGTAGGAAAATATTATAAAAAGAAACATAAGCACTAAACATTTTGGAGAAATTTCTGGAGGTGTATATATGGCAAAATAATTGCAATACTGTTATTGAGGATCAAACACTGTACATATGCACATTTCCTTAGTAGGTAAACAAATTTTGGTAGTGAACCAAGAAATGATAATCTCAAAATAAATTTTTTGATAAACATCACTTGAATGACATTCTGTGAAATTGAAAGTGCTGTCATGTGAACAAAGATTTTTTCTCTTCTAAATATTATAGCAGTCCACTGTTTTTAATGCAAAAAATCAGCACAATTTTTTTAATACATTTGGAATGATTGTCAAGGTGACTGAAATACTTGATGTGGAATGACCCAAGTCCAAAATAAGTTCAATCTAAACAACATGATAGAGTGAAAAATGATGCTACTAAATAGAAAATGTGTGCCACTATGTTACAACAGTTCTTAAAAAGATTCATTTTATTTTTTTTTTTTTCTGCAGTGTTCATTGATGCTCCCCATGTCATCGAGAATGGAGTCTACGGTGAAGCAGACAACGAAGGTAAGAGGGTGGCAAAAAAGTTGGCCCCATATCTGCATTTAATCTGCAAGTGTCATCGAAAGACGATAGTCTTGCTTGTAGAGAGAGTGAACAAAACATTTATTTGATGTTCTGCTCAAGAAAATCGGTGAATGTTATTCTGGAGGCGCTGCGTTAGAGTGCCTCGAGCGTGCTGCAGAGGCGAACGAGCGCATCAAATCACGTCACACGTGAGACATGAGCGCCATCTGGCAGTTTTTTTTCTTTTTTTTTTTCAAAAACAAAGCACGCGGCTTTGAGACGGGTGTGCGCGGCCGTCTCAGAGGTGATAAGGTGTAAAACGCAAGGCGACGGGTAGGTGCCACCACCGTCTCGTTTTAGCAAAGCGTTGGAAACACTCGTCTTTCCGTGCAAGCGTTGCATGGTCAGCGCTGTGTGATAAGTGCTACAGTCCTTAAAATTACTTGTGTGCCTTTTCTACTAAAAGGCGCACATGCAGAATAAATACGTGTTGTTATGGTGCCCCAGCCATGTGCAATAATTGCTTTTTAATCAACAATTGCACAAGTATGGATGCTGAATCTTGAGCAACATAGGTGGGTGCTGCGGATGGGGTCGGCCGTTTCAAATACTTGATGCTGTTAAGAGTGGACAAACAGACAAATGTACAGACAGACATACCAAACTTTTTGTGTCAAAAGTCCCCAAGTTTAAAAGCATGCTCATTTGTATTTATTTATTTAGCAACTATTGCAGGAGCAGTAAAAATAAACAATAGCATGCAGGTTATAAATATTGAACGAAAGAAGAGTCACTCTGTGAAACCAGCTCTTTTTGCGCAGAAAGAAAATGCTAGCACAGAAGTGTGTCTCTTTGTGCTGTTAGAACATATATTTGATGTTAAAAACAATGAAGTTCGGACAAAATTGGGAGAGCCGCATTCCAAAGACGCATGCATGAGGGGCAGTCCCTTTCGTTCGTTGATGTTGAAGAAAATGGCATAGGTACTCTTAGTCCTAGTATGCCATAATTACATTGGCTTAGTGTGAGAATAATTACCATTACCAATAGTGTCGGCACTGCACTGCACCTCATGAAATATGACTGCACTGCAAAAACATTGTGCACTTTGTCCGACTTCAATTGCTGCATAGACTTGCACGCACTGTATTACTGCATGTGCTTTTGCAAGAGTAGGGGTGCGACATTTCCATTCATTGTTTACGCTTCCATTCAGCAAATTCGGTCAGGTCGCTTAAAAAGCTGTCATGGAAACATGGTGAAGCTACATTTCAGACGAAGAAGGTAGAAAAAAAGCTAGCGATGGGAAAGCCTACCTCTATCCTCGATGGTCGGTGCCAAGACGACTAGTAGCACGAGTCTGTCTTGTTTTAGTTCGGTTGAGGACAAGCCAATTGCAATTCACTGCAACATGTGGCTAGTTGACTAGTGCTATCAAATGTATCTCCATATGCAGTGTTCTAGCTTAACTCAAAACACTGTTGTAGAAGACCTTTGGCAGAAGGCCTGCTAATATTGAAATGACACATTATGTATTTATTACTCCTGCAGACGCCTTTCAGTATAGACACGTGACACTCTAGCCTTTTGAGCTATGATTTTGATATAGGCATTTTCATCTTTCAACATATCAATCGATCAATGAATCTCAATTTTATTCAAAACATAGGCAATTATTACAAACTAGCTAGACTGTTAGCCTACATTGGCTAATGGTTGGTCCATATCAGAGTACATAACAGATTAGCAGCATATATATTTACATGTGCACACATGTATACTCATATGTGAATATATATACATGCATATACACATATACATATAAAAACATAAACACACAAAGTAATATACATATTTACACAAGCGATAAAAAAAGGAAACAAATGATAAAGCAGACAACATATAATAAGTCAAATATATATTCACATTCTTACAACTTATATAATGGTAAAAGGTTCGATACACTGCCAAAGGCGATAAGAAAACAGAAAAAAAAGCTGTTCACATGCATTGATCTCGCAAACAAAATATTTTTGCACTGAGCTTAAACTTGCGTGTTACCTTAACTTCTAAGGGTATTTTGGTCCAAATTTTCATTACATGAAATTCCACTAAACTTTTCCCATATAAGTTATAATTAGTAGGTGTACTGAATTTATCGTTGGCTGCTTGTGTAGTGTTTTGCGATGGTATAGTGAATAGACTGGAAGAGAGAAGAAAGTTGGTGCCTATGATTTGGTAGACAGAAAGAACAACCCTATAATCACGAAGTGCCGTGACTGATAGGATATGTTGCTCCTGAAATATATCATTTGGATTCCTGTGGTTTTCACCTATTATGTTTAGGGCTCCCTTTTATAGTCGTAGAAGTGGTTCAAGGTATGTCATTTATACACACCCACGATTCTATACAGTAGCTTATATGAGAGTGACAAAAAGAAAAGTACAATGTCCGAAGCAATTAGTTTGAGCGGGTAACAACATGCTGCCTTTAACCTGTGCTTATTATTCAGCCAACCTTTGCGTGCAAACAGCACTGATCACATTCCTGCATTGTGGTTCAGGTGGCCGTGCCTGGTGGTTTTCGAGTGAAAAGACGTTCAGTTCGAAGGAGTACACAGACACGTGCCGCGGCTTTGAGGAATCGGTCAAAGCAATTGAGCAAGCATGCAAAGAGCAGGTAAGCCTTCTCAAAGGGCTTAGACATCTCACACAAAAGGAAGACACTTAAGACAGGTGCTGCAGAGAGACTGCAAATTGATATGGCTGTCATAAGTGTTATCTCGAAGTGCAACAGTAGACTGTCGCAACAGTTCAAACGTTGCGCTGCCTATTTTTGGTTCCTCATCCTGCTTGTGCATGTCACGTTTGCCATGCCTGTTTCTTTAATCAGTTCACTCATGGTTTGCTTTCTTGCAATTATTTTATTACTTAGCATTGAAACAATGTTTTATTAAGACTGAGTAATGCTATGTCATCTGCAAACAAATGAAAGAAGTGTAAATTTACGGGCTCATTTTGTTTGTTAGATACACTATTAATGAGAACTAACATACAGTGATGCCAAGGAACGTATAGGGTATGTTACTAGAAGTAATTGTTACGTAAATGTGAAGAAAGAAAACTGGACAAGAAGATAACTTGCCACCAGCAAGCAGCAAACCTGTGCCCTTCGAATAATGCAACCGGCGCAGGCCACTGAACTATGGTAGCAATCATCCCTCCGTCAACTTATACGTGCCTCTAAACATAGGAGTGTCAGTCAGCGCAGTCAGTAGCCATGACGGCGAGTGTGGAACAGTCTTTTTCTGCCCCTTTATATCGCATTGCACGAGATCTTATTATGAGCTGGCAACTGACCAATAATCCTTCGCATACACCAGTAGTCATTAAGTCTGCCAGAATGAGACCCTTGCTATGCATGAAGGAAAGAAGTGTAAATTTAAGGGCTAGTTTCTTTATCTGTGTGCCATCTGTGGGCCTCGTGTGCTAGAAATGTATGCGCTTGGTAGAGAAGAGCCACTTTTGAGCTGGCGTCAATGAAGAATAGAGGTAGGTTAATAGTACACATAAGGTTCTGAACACATTCGAAAGTATAGAAGTGATTTGGTCCAATGATTGTGAATAAAATATAGTTTGAGTAGTGTGTTTCGCATATTATAAAGAAAGATGAACACTTGTCAGGCTGACCTAAGTTTGCGATATTTTCAAGAATAGAAAAAAGGCTTGTGCAAGTGTCCCCTTTTCTCTTCGTTTGCAGCAATGTTAAATCGTAGCAGGATTGAATAGGCAGTGGGGTGCTAGTTGTATGTGGTGAGCAATAGGAAGTTTTAAAATTACTATATTTAGCACATACCATATTTACTCGTATAATAGTGCACTTTTTTCTAGAGAATTAGGGCTCCAAGTTTGGGGTGCGCTTATTATACAAGGGTAAAATTTTCAGAAATTGTATTTCTGTCTACAGCATAAACCACTGATAACGCAAGTTGCTGAAGTCATGGATATGCGCACTACATCCAAAATAACCTTCTTCCTAGGCTACACTAGCTCAAAAGCAAGCCTGAGAATTGAGATATGCGATAAGGTGTGCTTAGAGGCACTCAAATTTACAAAAATTAACATCGAAGACCCCCAGACTACAAAATGAACGCTGAAATGAAAACTACAAAAAGAGAGCGCCATCACGGGAATTCATCGATTACGTTTCAGGCCGCCTAGGTCATGCATCAAGTCTGAAATTTTGTGTGCTAAGCAAGAGCGATCATTTGATTTCTTGAGCTAGCACTGTCCATAACCAAGACATCACAATCAAATCACGAACCACCCATTAGAGTGTTACTAGGGCCACCCATCGCAAAGAGCTGTGTTGATTCCGTACAAAACTGCAACTTTGATTGCCTGCAACGGCCACCGAAAAGCAACCGACGCTGATTAGGCCTAGCCTACGGTTTGACATATTGTCGCGAGACGTTTGAACAAGGCAACATGAGGACTGGACGTTGAAAAGATAGAACTCAAGCACTGGTCTAAGAGCAGCACATTTCAGACGAAGAAGGTAGAAAAAAAGCTAGCGATGGGAAAGCCTACCTCTATCCTCGATGGTCGGTGCCAAGACGACTAGTAGCACGAGTCTGTCTTGTTTTAGTTCGGTTGAGGACAAGCCAATTGCAATTCACTGCAACATGTGGCTAGTTGACTAGTGCTATCAAATGTATCTCCATATGCAGTGTTCTAGCTTAACTCAAAACACTGTTGTAGAAGACCTTTGGCAGAAGGCCTGCTAATATTGAAATGACACATTATGTATTTATTACTCCTGCAGACGCCTTTCAGTATAGACACGTGACACTCTAGCCTTTTGAGCTATGATTTGATATAGGCATTTTCATCTTTCAACATATCAATCGATCAATGAATCTCAATTTTATTCAAAACATAGGCAATTATTACAAACTAGTTAGCCTACATTGGCTAATGGTTGGTCATATCAGAGTACATAACAGATTAGCAGCATATATATTTACATGTGCACACATGTATACTCATATGTGAATATATATACATGCATATACACATATACATATAAAAACAATAAACACACAAAGTAATATACATATTTACACAAGCGATAAAAAAAGGAAACAATGCATAAAGCAGCACAACATATAATAAGTCAAATATATTCACATTCTTACAACTTATATAATGGTAAAAGGTTCGATAACACCTGCCTAAGGCGATAAGAAAACAGAAAAAAAGCTGTTCACAATGCATTTGATCTCGCAAACAAAATATTTTTGCACTGAGCTTAAACTTGCGTGTTACCTTAACTTCTAAGGGTATTTTGGTCCAATTTCATTACCCTGAATTCCACTAAACTTTTCCATATAAGTTATAATTAGTAGGTGTACTGAATTTATCGTTGGCTGCTTGTGTAGTGTTTGCGATGGTATAGTGAATAGACCTGGAAGAGAGAAGAAAGTTGGTCTATGATTTGGTAGACAGAAAGAACAACCCTATAATCACGAAGTGCGTGACTGATAGGAATATGTTGCTCCTGAAATATATCATTTGGATTCCTGTGGTTTTCACCTAATTATGTTTAGGGCTACCTTTCTAGTAGCGTAGAAGTGGTTCAAGGTATGTCATTTATACACACCCACGATTCTATACAGTAGCTTATCTGAGAGTGACAAAAGAAAAGTACAATGTCCGAAGCAATTAGTTTGAGCGGGTAACAACATGCTGCCTTTAACCTGTGCTATTATTCCAGCCAACCTTTGCGTGCAAACAGCACTGATCCACATTCCTGCATTGTGGTTCAGGTGGCCGTGCCTGGTGGTTTTCGAGTGAAAGACGTTCAGTTCGAAGGAGTACACAGACACGTGCCGCGGCTTTGAGGAATCGGTCAAAGCAATTGAGCATAGCATGCAAAGCAGGTAAGCCTTTCAACGGGCTCTAGACATCTCACACAAAGGAAGACACTTAAGGACAGGTGCTGCAGAGAGACTGCAAATTGATTTGGCTGTCATAAGTGTTATCTCGAAGTGCAACCAGTAGACTGTCGCAACAGTGCAAACGTTGCGCTGCCTATTTTTGGTCCTCATCCTGCTTTGTGCATGTCACGTTTGCCATGCCTGTTTCTTTAATCAGTTCACTCATGGTTTGCTTTCTTGCAATTATTTTATTACTTAGCATTGAACAATGTTTTATTAAGACTGAGTAATGCTATGTCATCTGCAAACAAATGAAAGAAGTGTAAATTTACGGGCTCATTTTTGTTTGTTAGATACACTATTAATGAGAACTAACATACAGTGATGCCAAGGAACGTATAGGGTTTGTTACTAGAAGTAATTGTTACGTAAATGTGAAGAAAGAAAACTGGACAAGAAGATAACTTGCCACAGCAAGCAGCAAACCTGTGCCCTTCGAATAATGCAACCGGCGCAGGCCACTGAACTATGGTAGCAATCATCCCTCCGTCAACTTATACGTGCCTCTAAAATAGGAGTGTCAGTCAGCGCAGTCAGTAGCCATGACGGCGAGTGTGGAACAGTCTTTTTCTGCCCCTTTATATCGCATTGCACGAGATCTATTATGAGCTGGCAACTGACCAATAATCCTTCGCATACACCAGTAGTCATTAAGTCTGCCAGAATGAGACCCTTGCTATGCATGAAGGAAAGAGTGTAAATTTAAGGGCTAGTTTTCTTTATCTGTGTGCCATCTGTGGGCCTCGTGTGCTAGAAATGTATGCGCTTGGTAGAGAAGAGCCACTTTTGAGCTGGCGTCAATGAAGAATAGAGGTAGGTTAATAGTACACATAAGGTTCTGAAACACATTCGAAAGTATAGAAGTGATTTGGTCCAATGATTGTGAATAAAATATAGTTTGAGTAGTGTGTTTCGCATATTATAAAGAAAGATGAACACTTGTCAGGCTGACCTAAGTTTGCGATATTTCAAGAATAGAAAAAAGGCTTGTGCAAGTGTCCCTTTTCTTCGTTTGCAGCAATGTTAAATCGTAGCAGGATTTGAATAGGCAGTGGGGTGCTAGTTGTATGTGGTGAGCAATAGGAAGTTTAAAATTTACTATATTTAGCACATACCATATTTACTCGTATAATAAGTGCACTTTTTTCTAGAGAATTAGGCTCCAAGTTTGGGGTGCGCTTATTATACAAGGGTAAAATTTTCAGAAATTGTATTTCTGTCTACAGCATAAACCACTGATAACGCAAGTTGCTGAAGTCATGGATATGCGCACTACATCCAAAATAACCTTCTTCCTAGGCTACACTAGCTCAAAAGCAAGCCTGAGAATTGAGATATGCGATAAGGTGTGCTTAGAGGCACTCAAATTTACAAAAATTAACATCGAAGACCCCCAGACTACAAAATGAACGCTGAAATGAAAACTACAAAAAGAGAGCGCCATCACGGGAATTCATCGATTACGTTTCAGGCCGCCTAGGTCATGCATCAAGTCTGAAATTTTGTGTGCTAAGCAAGAGCGATCATTTGATTTCTTGAGCTAGCACTGTCCATAACCAAGACATCACAATCAAATCACGAACCACCCATTAGAGTGTTACTAGGGCCACCCATCGCAAAGAGCTGTGTTGATTCCGTACAAAACTGCAACTTTGATTGCCTGCAACGGCCACCGAAAAGCAACCGACGCTGATTAGGCCTAGCCTACGGTTTGACATATTGTCGCGAGACGTTTGAACAAGGCAACATGAGGACTGGACGTTGAAAAGATAGAACTCAAGCACTGGTCTAAGAGCAGCACGTGTCATACGATGTTTACATTCGCGGCTGAGAAATCAATGGCAGCGAAAGTCCACCGAGCTTGTGCAAGTCCACGTAGTGGCAGCAAAGGTGAAAGCTCGTGTCAAAGAGCTGAGAAGCTTTTAAACTTGCAGACAAAGTAGCAATTGCGGTATTGACGGCACTTTTTCTGACAGGAAACTCTAAACGCACTTGATGGTGACGCGATCGCACGTTCTATGCGGAGCGTACAAGGCCTGTTAATAACCGGAGCCACGTCGGCGCCATTTTTCCTCGTTCCTTGTTAATGTTAGAGGTTGTCGAATTGCAACCGTGCAAATAAGGTACAGAACTACTGATAACTTCCAAGTTTGGGGTTCGCTTATTGTGCGCAGGAATAAAAAAAAAATCTGATTTCTCTCGGCCTAACTGGGGGTGCGTTAATTATGCGAGTGTGCCTAATATGCAAATAAATATGGCCTAAGTCTATATAATTAGCTTCTAAACTAAGCAATAAAAGGTAATGGATAAGTGCTGTCATAGTTGACCATATCAAACTTTGTTAAATCGAATTATCTTTTATAACAAACTATCTTCGAACACGAGACTGCTTCATTGCCAATGTATTGGCAAATATATGGTTACAACATAGAAAAACAGGCGCAACACTTTGGACATTGTGGAGATGATTTAGACTCCAACCAACAGTTTTAAATAAACCCGACGTTTCAAAACCGACTTGCTTCCTTCCTCAGGGGTGACTGCGCAGGCTATGTAGCAGCGGCATCTTCAAAGCACTCGCAGGGTGGATAATGACCTCCTCTCTCTCTCTCTCTCGTTTTGCCGTGGAGCGTAGTCCGTGTGTATACACTGGGGGAAGGGTTCCGAGAGAGCGGTTGATGTTATGGGCTGTCCTCTGTATGTGCCACGACCCTAGTAACAACCTTCTCTTCCGGTTCGGCTCGCTTTCAAGGATGGCCGTCGCTTCGAAATTTATCTGGTGATCCAACGTCTCAGCATGTTCGACGACTGCGCTGCGCTCTTTGTAGAACTTCCGCACATCGTTGGCGCGCTGCTTGAGTCGTTCGGATAGGTTTTTCGTCTTTCCGATATACGAAGAGGGGCACTCGGCGCACGGAATTTCGTAAACAACACCGGGGGGGCCCTGTCCATTGTTGGCAGGTCTTTCGGGCGGGGGAGGAGGTGGCCCAGTGTACATGAAAGCACATGTGCGATGCTAACCCCTTCCTTCTTGAAGATCCGCGCCAACATCTCGCTGGTTCCCTGAACGTATGGAACCGGTACGCGTTTTGGGGGGCTGCCAATTAAGGTTGATTGGGGTTTTCGTATCCTCTGTTGCTCTGCACGGCGGGTGGCGGCTCGAATGAAATTTTTGGGTTATTCGTTTTTTTCTGAGGTTCGCAATTCTCTAACAGCATCTAACATCAGGCAGTGCAAAATGCCCAAAGAAGTTGGGATCCCTCACGAAAAGGGGACATTTTCGCATGCATCTAGAAAGGTTAGAGGTGTGATCATAGAAGTGTGCCATTTGGATCTTGTAGCTACTACCACTTGCCATCGCATGCTTTTTTCTATGATTCTTCGTCGTCGCACCTGTCAGCATGTTATTCACATTCGCCTTACTGCGGTCATTTGACTTATTTGTCAGAGCTGCTGTTTTCTGGAAAGCTGGCAATGATCAACCGAGTCGAACCTGGAAAAAATAAGCCTGATGTCACCACAGCACATTATTCCAAAGAGCATGCTCAGTACGACTGAAAAGCAGTGCTGGCATTTGGGCCAAGGCGGACTAGAGACTTCCCGCACATTACGTAGTGAGAATGGTGAGGTGCTGGTTACATCGATACCGTATTTTCTCGGGTATAACACGCCCTGCATAAAATCTGCACCTTCAATAAAAACCGCAGTAGGCATGAAAAGTAAAAAAAAATATTTCACATATTGCCATAAAGCCACTTTCTCAGCAATGTTGTTAAGCAATCTTGGGCACCTGAATGTGATTGCTTTTTCAGAGTGTTATATTGAATAGTATGATATAACGAACTCATTCCCATAGTTTTGAGAATTTGATATATGCAAGCTAGACTAATACTGTATCAGTTCCAGTTTGTTGCTTTTTATATACACTGAACCTCTGAAGGGGTCAAGCAAAATTTTTCAGCATGGTCAGAAAACACGACGACCGGTCGGTAGTCGAGGCGCCTAAGAACAGGTGAGCCAAATGGCCTGGAATTAACAATTATTTTTAAATTCAACTAGAAATAGCTCCCTGTCTTCTTCACGAATCATGCCATAAATAAACCCAAACAACAATTCAATCAATCTCAATGTCACAGCCATTGGGTGATTTGACATCATCGAATGCAGAGTGACCCTATAGTGTTCACGGTAGATCCCGGATGTCCCGATGTGCTCGCTCGCGATGAGTGAAGGCATAGGCGTATCTGCCGGGGGGCAAGGGGGGTGCTAGTCCCGCCACCAAGAAGAGGGAAGGGGGCTGAGCCCCGGCACTTCCGACAGTGGTCAATGTTGGCTGCACGATGGGGAAACAAACAACTAAGGTGATGTTTTCTTTGACCACAGTAGTCACTCAGTTATAATGTTACGAGGAGATCAATATATTACGAGAAAATGTTACATATAATGAAATTTTTCCAGCAATTCTGTGAAGATTTTTCTAGTTGACTCTTTGCGGTGCGGACCACTGTACAACACTTTCGCGCCTTGTGCTGTAGCATTGCAGAGCAGGCTATCCCTGAACAGGGCCCCATAAGACTACATCACTGGCTCATGCTTCTATTCTGCTGTGCCTGGGTGGCTGATGCAGCTACAGATAAAAATGAGCAAAGTTTTTATGGACTAATGAAAGCACTTGCTGCTTCAGCAAATAATTTTCTTCCATAGAAAAGGAATAGCATCACCGCTGCTCTGTCGAAGCTGCTGTGAGCCTGAGTGTGATGAATTTTTTTCAATGTTTGGTTTTGCCATACTGAAAGAAGGAAAAAAAAGGGGGGGGGTTGGCCTTCAGTCTTCGATCAATCAAATCAGTGATCAGTTTTGCTTGTGGCACCTTGTAACGGTGGCAGCAGCTTTCAAAGTGGTGACGAATAAAACAGCGGAATCGAGCAGTGGGAAGCTCAGCTTATCTTTCCCTGAAACTTGATCTCATGATCCAGGGAGAAAAGTCCTAAGTAGACTTAGAGAAGTGCACATGGCAGTGCAGCATATTCCTCTCTCTTTCTTAGCAAGAATGAACCATTTGTATTTATGCAGAGAGTTTTAAGGTGACACATAAAAAATCGCTACCATATCCACAAAGTGATGTGATGTAAGAGGTGCTTGCTCGCAGATGATCGCACAACCCACGAATCTTCCGTGTACATCTCTCACCATCATATATACACGTGACAACGTTAGTGTATATCCCCACACCGTCCGTTTGCATCTTTCTGCGCATACCGCATACTTTGTAGTATAAAACTGTGTCTTGCTTACAATTTTTTCATACAGTCATAACCATATCGCACAAGTACCTGTGTTTATTGATAGTGACACGATATATGCCATATCTATGACGATAATAGTTAAGCACATGTTAGGGGCCCCCACTGTACTCATCTATTTAAAAGTGCATTTTTGGTGTGCCCTGTGTTCTCTGACGAAGGCAGACTCTCCTGTGGAAACTTTGAAAGAAATGAACATTTTCGCACCTTCGTCCGCTTGCCCCACCCCCTGTTGTTTTCCAGTTACATGCTGAAGACTTCTTCGCGATGATCATGGCCCACAAGCTTGTCTCATTATCTCGCTGATGGAAGTCAGTTCAGGAACAAACATAAAATGGGAAGCACATCAGTGTTACATAAATCTTTAATCCTTGTAAATGAGCCTAGACAACATCGTTTAATTTGCAGATAACATAAGTAATAATGTAGAAAGTTTGTGCCGCTTGAAAGTACATACAATATTATCCAAAACGTGTTTTCTCACACAAAAGCCTAAATATTACTGCAGCTCTGCACGCGAAATTTTCTACATTGTTTTTATCACCCATTTGCTTATTGTGGGACCTGATGATAGCTTCAGCACCAGTGAAAGTGGTGGGATCAAAACATTTCTTATTTAATTTGGTCATGAGGTTTTTTCTGTGAGTTTCCACTTCGCAATGCAACTTTTGTTAAAGCAGTGTGTTCAGCGTAGCAGCCTTTTAAAGGACATGGTGACTCAATTGGTCTCCACATATGCGCACTACAAAAAACCTTTCTGTCTGCAGGGTCCCTTTGACGGAATCTTAGGTTTTAGCCAAGGGGCTGCAATGACAGCCATGATTCTCGTTCTACAGAGCCTCAAAAGTAAGTTTCTCATAGCCATTCATTGTCTTCGTACTTTGTTTCATGCATAGCAAGCAACAAAGCCGAAGCTATGATGACATTATGGTCAAAGCTCACATTTGAAAGAAGGGATAACTTCTCCCTAATTATTATTTAATGAAACAGTGAAACTATAAAAGGTCACATATACATCCCTGACACTTGCATTGAAGGTGATTGCGCACTAATCTTCAGTAGTCAGCCACAACTGTCCACGCATAACCAGCTGGGAAACTGAGGCACATGCTTCAGTGAAAGAAAGCAAGGAAGTATTACTAGACTTGGGTGCACACAACAGTTAGTGAGACAGGTGCTTAGCCACAGCTTCATATAGGTTCAGTATGCTGCGGCTCATCTATTTCATTGAGGGTGGTAAGAGTCGGGGAGCGCAGCGATTTATGAAAGTCTGAGCCACACAGGCCACATTTCTTTTGCATAAAATTTAGCCAAGAGAGGAAAGATGTAGTCGTGCTAGTATACCTGTGCAAAGGGTTCATTGGAGCCACTTGGTTAAGTTTGCCTCATTTCACATAGCTAGCAAGAAGCATTTCCCTATGCATAGGTCTGCTTCTCAAAACCAGTGATAGGGAGCCGTGATTTCAGCTAGAAGTCTCATGGCATCAGATAGGATGGTGCTCTACTCAAATAATATGTGGCAGCTTTATTATTCTTTATAGCTTCCTTGTAAAATTAAGTAAGGTTAGTATTTCGTATAGAAGTTCTGTGTGAATTGCATGGTGGCACAAGACTTTCTTCAGTAGCACTGCTTTTCCTGTGCAATGATGTTTATTCAAATAGAGAAGTCGCAACGTGGTCACGACAGAAAATGGGCGTACGGCAAGTCTTGAAAAGGCGGCACAGGTTCTCGCGCAATCAGAGCACGGGGTTTTTCGTTCTCTTCCGAAGGTGCATACACGTTAGTACGTATGCTCCACTACAATACCCCCCAGGGGTAAGAGTAGCCATCCTGGCGACTCAGGGAGTGGGCACAATGAGGGGTTCGTTGTAGGGCTTGAGACGGTCGACGTGCACGGTCTCGTGTCCTCGACGGTGCAAATCTGGTGATTGTGTTAGGGGTTTGACGATGTAATTCACCAGCGAGGTCGCGTCAATGACACGGTATGGACCATGGTACTGAGCCAGAAGCTTAGAAGAAAGGCCAGGAACGTGCGGGGGCACCCAAAGCCACACAAGAGAGCCAGTATGAAACGTAGGAGCTATGTTATGAATGTCGTCATGTCGGGTTTTTTGTAGAGCTTGAGCCTCACTTGTCAGAGACCGAGCCAACTGTTGGCAGTCTTCAGCGTATCTAGCGACTTCCAAAAGCGGGGAGCACTCAGATGCATCAGGGCGGTACGGGAGTATAGTGTCGAGTGAGTGGGAAGATTCATGCCCGTACAACAGAAAAAATGGTGAAAAACCGGTAGTCGCTTGCGTCGCGGTGTTCTAAGCGAAGGTAACAAAAGGTAATGCAGCATCCCAGTTAGTGTGGTCGAAGGAGGTGTACATCCTCAGCATGTCGCCAAGTGTGCGGTTGAACCGTTCAGTGAGACCATTCAATGTGGATGGTATGCGGTAGATTTCCGGTGGATGATGTTGCATTCAGCGAGAATAGCTTGGATGACCTCTGACAGGAACATTGAACCCCTATCACTGAGTAATTCCCGTGGAGCACCATGGCAGAGAATGAAGCTTCGCAGAATGAAGAGTGCAACTTCATGGGCAGTCACTGCAGGTATAGCTGCAGTCTCAGCATAGCGTGTCAGATGATCGATGTCGCCAATAATCCACCGTTTTTCAGAACCACTATATGGTAGGGGGCCGTAGAGGTCGATACCCACGCGGTCTAATGGGCGAGCCGGGCACGGAAGCGGCTGTAACATGCCAGTAGGGTGCTTCGGAGGTGTCTTGTTCTGTTGGCAAGTGGTGCAAGACGAAACGTATTTCTGCACAAATCGATACATTCCTTGCCAGTAATATCGTTGCCGCAGCCTTTCGTAGGTTTTCAGGACACCTGGGTGAGCACTTTGGGGATCTGCATAGAAATTCATGCAGATGCCAGAGCGCATATGAGTTGGGACAGCAAGGAGCCACTTCCGACCACCAGGCATGTAGTTGCGGCGGTACAGAATGTTGTCTCGCATGTAAAAGTGGGCTGCTTGCTGGCATAGCGCTCTCGTGGAAGGGACAGCAGACAGATCAGTAAGGTAGTCGAGTAACAATGCAAGGTATGGGTCTTTACGCTGTTCCGAAATCTTGTCAGTGGTGTCGAGTGGTGACAAGGTGGTAAAAAGTGGTGACAGAGAAGCCACATCTAATGTTAATGGCGATCGCGAAAGTGCATCGGCATCCACATGCTTGCGACCGGAACGATATACGACATAGATGTCGTATTCCTGCAATCGAAGTGCCCAATGCCCCAGGCGTCTGGATGGGTCTTTCAAGGTGGACAGCCAACATAGAGCATGGTGGTCTGTGACCATGTCAAAAGGACGGCCGTAAAGGTACAAGCGAAACTTCGTCAACGCCCACATTATGGCCAAACACTCCTTCTTTGTCACGGAGTAATTTAATTCAGCCTTCTTGAGAGCGCGACTTTCATAGGCGACTACGTATTCAGCTTGGGTGCCTTTCCATTGTGCCAAAACTGCACCAAGACCGATGCCACTTGCATTGGTGTGAATTTCTGTGGCACCAGTGGGGTCGAAGTGCCGAAAAATAGGTGGTGAGATCAGCAGGCGGCGCAGCTGGCGAAATGCGTCGTCACATGCAGGTTACCATGCAGATATACCTTTGCTGTTGGAAAGCAGACTCGTCAGAGGTGCGATGATGGTCGCGAAGTTGCGCCCGAAGCAACGAAAGTAGGAGCAGAGGCCGACGAAACTTCTTAGGGCTTTTAGTGATGTGGGCAACGGGAAGTCAGCGACAGCTTGAAGCTTATCGGGATCCGGAAGAACACCGTCTCTTGTGATGACATGTCCCAAGATGGTTAGTTTTCATGCTGCAAAGTGGCACTTCTTGGTGTTAAGTTGTAGGCCCGCAGAAATTAGACACGTCAGAATCTTGTGGAAACGAACAAGATGTGTCGAGAAATCAGATGAAAGGACTACGATGTCATCCAGGTAACACAAGCAAGTTTTCCACTTGTGGGCACGCAAGACGGTATTGATTATGCTCTCAAATGTGGCAGGCGCGTTGCAGAGCCCAAATGGCATGACTTTGAACTCATATAGGCCATCCGGCGTTACAAAGGCTGTTTTAGGGCGATCACGTTCAGCCATTGGCACCTGCCAATACCCAGAACTCAGATCCAAGGATGTAAAGAAAGTACTCGACGCCTTGTTAACAGTCAAGAGCATGGTCTATTCGAGGTAGCGGGTTGACATCTTTTTCGTAATCTTGTTTAAGCGGCGATAGTCCACGCAAAATCGAACAGTGCCATCTTTTTTCTTTACCAAAACCCGCTTTGAGAAGGCTGTATGACTCCACGTTTAAACACGTCATCTACTTGCTCCGTAATGATGTGGCGCTCTTCGGCGGAAACGCGGTAAGGACGCTGTCACAGAGGGGAATGTGAGCCGGTGTCAATAGTATGAGTGATAGTCGTAGTGCGGCCCAAAGCAGGTTCTTGAAAGTTGAAAGAAGAGCAAAACTTGTTAAAGAGAGCAAGAAGTGGGCGGCGATGCGAGGGGGAAGCTCTGCGTCAATAGCAATGTCGAAGACTGACGAACTTGATGGCTCAGACGCATGAGTGATTGTGGCAATATGACATGGGGTTTCATCGGGTAGAATAATATTATCAATATGGTCGACAGGTTGCACATATCCTAACGTTTCACCACGCAGTAAGCCAATGGGGTAGTTGCAGTGGTTGGTAACCAGCATTACGGTTAAACCAGACACAATTGTGAGAACGGCAAATGGGAGAACGATGCCCTTGCGTTCAGTAAAAACAGGAGATGGCGTAAACACCACCATGGTGTCAGGTTGCGCCACACATAAAAGGCTAATAGGGACTGAAGCTTCCGGAGGCAAGGTGATGTCGTTGTCAGTGATGAGTTTGCGGAGCAGAGGAGAACGGTCGGGTGGTGGAAGTTGACATGTTGGCAGAAGGGACAGTTCGGAATGACAACAATCGATGATAGTTTCATGACATGATTAGAAATCCCAACCCAGGATAGGGTCATGAGAGCAAGACGATACAACAAAAAATTGGACGCTGGCCGTGGACAGCACCACGCCACAGAGAGATGTCACTTTCTTCAGCTTCTGACAAAATTTTGCATTCATCACAGAAACGGTAGCCCCAGTATCAATTAACGCAAATGTGGCGACTTTCTCAACATTGACATCAAAAACATTTTGCGGCCAAAGTGGAAGCCTTGAGAATTGCGCACAAGTTGCAGTTCTGGCCTCCGGAACTGCACTGATTAGTTCCCTCCTCAGGGGGTAGTCGACGACGCATCGGTGACGAGGGGATGGGAAACGAGCAGTTGATGGGTGGCGATCCGAGTCGGAGTGCCTCTGTTTATATGCAGACGTGGTGGCCTGCTGCAGTGCGTAGGTAGGAGTTTGGAAGTAGGCGTGCACAGGTGTGGGACGGCGGAGACAGAAGCATGCAATGTGGCCAGCGATGCCTCACACGAAGCAGATAGGACGGTTGTCTTGGGTGCGCCACTCATTAGATGGACGGAAAAAGCGAGGTGGGGGCCTGTAAGCTGGAACTGAGGCCGCAGGAGGTGGAGCCGATAAGGAGACTGGATGCGGTGGGGGCCGCACGACCACAGCTGCGTAGCTGAAAGGTGAAGGTAGCACAGGTGGTGTGTAGCCGGCACTTGAGAGATCAGATGGTACCGAAGTGCATGGGTATGGGGCCGGAACTGTAGGGAGGGCATCACAAATTTCAATGCGTTGGCCTGCTGCAGTGTTGAAGGCAGGCTTGTGGTGGGCGCGTTGCTATGCAGCAGCAGGGAGAGCTGTCGGGCGACTTCCTCCCTGATGAAGTCTTTAATCTGGTTTGACAGAGTTCCTTGGCAAACGTTTCCATTTGCGAGTGTGACGGCTGAGATCGAATCTGGTGATGGGACACTCTGTCAGGCAATGGAACGCTGACAACGCAATTCATCAAAGCTCTGGCACAGGCTTACGAGGACTGCCACCGTTGTCGGGCTTTTCTCCAGCAACATCTGGAATGCGCCATTCTCGAGGCCCTTGAGAATTTGTCGAATTTTCTCTTCTCCAGACATAGATGGGTGTGATGATTAAACGGAACGTTCGTCACTATGTTTGTTGATAGCGGACGAGAAAGCATTAACATGAACTTTTTATTTCATGGCATGGGTGGAACGGCTGAAGACGCACGGATACGCTACCGTGTGCAGCGCCGTTGAGTCGGACGTCGCGGCCAACCCAGCAGTCAGGGTCGCAACTCCGGAGGTCCTGGATCAGGCCACGGCTCACGACGACCACACCCGGTAGGCCTCGTCCACGAACCTGCTCCCGGCCACTGCACCCAGGCAGGAGCCGTTCGGCAGGTCTCGTCCTTGCACCTTGTAGAAGCCGGCGGAGTCGACCCCGAACGAACACGCCGGAGCTCGACCTGGCCGACACGTACGGGTCCCACGTCCGGCTCAGGAACGCTCCCAGGAACTCGTCCTCTCGAGCGGCGCGCTGCTTCGTCTGCCTTCGTGGCCTCAACTCTCGAGCTGCAGTGGCGGAGATGCCTTGACCAGCGCGACCTCGGACCTCGTTTCCAAGCTTTTGATCACCTTCCGGGCGTAGCGGTTCCACGTGCGGGTTCTGGCCAGCACAGCACCGTCTGTGCCGTGCTGAAATGCTGCTCACTACAGCTGCGGTGCGGCAGCTCACTCACCGGCGTTCGTCGCCTTGGCCAGGGCACAGCCAGGTACCCTCGGGTGCGCACCTCGTGAGCTCGCGGCCCACTTCCGAGGCTGGTGCGTCGCTCAGTACGGCTCGGCACCACTCGGCGATCCTTGATTCAGCCAGCAACTCCCCTGGCATCTGAATCCTCGGCCACCCTGAACCTCGCCCGGCTCCATGGTCCTCCGTTCACACGCCCGCGTCTCGCCCGGCAGAACATCTCGCTCGTCCCTTGCCGATGTGCGACGCTCTGGTGACATCGGCGCTTGATGGCATGGGTGCGGCCACGGAGCAGTCAACCCGCATAGGAGACGCGATGCTCCATGCGGGGCATGGCCAGCCCGTCCAGCGAAGATCGTGCGCCGAGACGCGATGCTCGACGCAACCGTGACCATTAGCCAGGCCACGTTCATCGCTGTGTCGAACGGCTGACCGTGGAGACGCCTCGCCGAGATCCGCGATGCCCTCGGCAAGGAAGAGAACAGCAGGCCAGGCCGCGCCCCGAGATGCAGTACTCGTGCCGGAAACGCCGCCCCCAGATGGTGGTTGGACGGCAGCAGCGTGGACGACCGCGTTCCCTGGCCGGAACCTGGATCGCCTGCGTCCGACGCTTCGGCCCGCTGTCTCCCGTCTTCCGCTGCTCCGGCTCGTCCCCAGCCACAAAGCCTACTGCCACGTAATGGTCGCACGTGGCCCAATCGTGGCACGCCACCTCTATGGGCCACCACTGGTCATGAGCTGATTGGCGCACAGTTGACTCGTAATCGCACGTGCCTTCTTCTCTTCTTCATTTCTTGTTGTCGCCTTCGTGCCACCTGCTCTCCGCTCGTCTTCTTCAGTTCTGGTTTGATGCTCCTCGGCGTCTTCAAGTTCTTTCCTTACAATGGGTTAACACGCCTGCAGAGGTCGAGCACATTCTCAGTGTAACTAGTAAACGTCTCGCCAGGCTGCTGGGCTCGGTGGTGCAGACGCTGGTCAGCGCGGAGTTTGCGGACCTCTGGTCGGCCGAATGCTTCGGTCACAAGGGTCTTAAAGGTGAACCAGTTGGCGATGGCGGTTTTGCGGTTGGTAAACCATAGCATAGCAATGTCAGCCAAGTAAAAGATAACATAGGTGAGCTGAGAGTCATCGTCCCACTTGTTGTTGCTGGCACTTACGCGTTCGTACAAGGAGAGCCAGTCTTCAACGTCTCACTCATCACTGCCGCTGAACATTGGTGGGTCCCGCTGACGGGTAGCGCTGGGGCAGGTCAACGGAGCAGCCGATGGTGCTGGCTGTGCTGGGATGGGCTGGTTGGCGACTGCATCAGTGATGTTGTATGGTGGTCTTTCGGCCAACTTGCGAGAGCGGAGCTCTAGGTCTGCTTAGAGATCTCAGCAGCCTCCACCAAATGCGATGATGTTTATTCAAACAGAGAAGTCGCAACGATGTTGCGACGGAAAATGGGTGTACGGCAAGTCTGGCAAAGGCGGCGCAGGTTCTCGCATAATCAGAGCACGGGGTTTTTCGTTCTTTTCCGAAGGCGCATACACGTTAGTGCGTATGCTCCACTACACATGCAATAGTACACCGACACTATTAAGCCTGTCCAGTCCAAAGAAATGCCTGCACTACCTATATACTCCATTACTGTACAGTTTTTGTTTGAGCTTGCTGCTTTTTTTTTCCAAGGGTATATACTAGACAGCACTTCCGCATGCCACCCTCGTGGTCAGTCATGGCCTATTCAATGAGAATTTTCAAATTGTTCCTGTTTGTACGTGTTTCTAAGTGTCAGAAGTCCGGACTCTTTGTTTTCTAAATTACAATGAGGTTAACCAGCGTAGACACATATACACACTAAATATTATGCCTTCAGGGCAAGTACATGTTGCAATAAAAAATGAGGAAGCTATGCCTGGCTTATCTTTAGTTACAACTTCCATGTCGTGTTAATATTTATGCCTTTCCTTGTTTCCCTCTCTCTCTCTTTTAATTATATTATGTTAGGACAAGGACTCCTTACAGTAGTAAGCATTTATTATGGGTGCACTGTCAGTGGTATGGAGATTGCATAATGTAGTTATCTACACCCTATGTGTTTAAGTGACCATCAGGACTTTTGTCATATTCACCTCTCTGCTCTCAATAACAGGCCGTACTCTTACTGAAATTCATGCAGGGATAGAGTGCAGCTTCAAGTTTGGTGTCCTAGTGGCCGGCTTTCGGAGTCGCTCCAGTGCACACGACTACCTCTTCGCACAAGAGGGCGTGATAGACTTGCCCACCTTGCATGTTGTAGGTGAAACTGACAACATTATACCCAAAGGTAAGTGCAACTAATGTGCAGTAATCTAGAATGAGGTACTGGGCTCACTCGCTATCAAAGGCTATGTGCAGTAGTGGCTTCACCAATTTTGATAACTCACAGGGTCTCTTGCACATTTGCCTCAAAGGTTAAAGGACCGCTGATTGTAAAATTTTGTTTGCGATTTTTAAATGTGAAGCAACGCGTTTGTACGGAAGCGCAACATGCTGCTTCTCCATATGAACGTGCTGCAGGTGTTGGCACGGTGCCGAATAGGTCACGCTGCTGCTGCGCATTTATGTCACGCTCCCCTCGCAGTGCACTTTGACGTCACTCTCTTCCTCGCCTGCCGCGTGCTCGCCGCGATGCCTGCAGCTGCCGCCTCGTCAATTCGCCTGCATCACCTGCCGCACCGCCACTTGCTACACCGCTGACTCATCGGTTCACGCGCAATAAACCTTATACGCGTCTAATGTACACAGTGAAACATGTCTGTGCATGTCACCTACAAAGCCTGCACCAGCCATAGCTTCAAACAAATCTTTCAGCGCTCACTTCAGCATCCACATTAGCGCCACTTAACCTGTGATGCCACCCGTAAGCTTGCCTATTGCTTCGCATCCCATCAGGTTTCCCTTCAAAGAGATGGTCCAAGTTCTTTTTATAGTAATTTGTAGCTTTGCACCTGATGATTACGAAATAGAAGCCTAAATGCTCTAATGCATCATTTAATAAATGTTAGCTTAATTAGTTGCGAACAATTTTGCTTCAGTTCAAAACGTCCTCCGCCAAAATACCATAAGCAGCTAGCCCCCCACAGCAGGGCAATGCCTGAGACTATCAGCCCTTAAACTTTGGTAACGCTGAACGGGCTGTTTTCAAATAGGGTCTCATTTTCAAATAGGCAGACCCACAAGAGGTGAAGAATGAAACGATATGGGTGCTTGGAGCGTGTTGCCCCTGGAAAAAAAAACAGCATTCCTGGCGTAGGCAGCCGAAACCACCGTGAAGGTAGCCTGACAACAGACTGAGAGGGGTGACCAACAAGAATCCTCGCTGTTAGCCAGTCGATCTGTTGTGCGCTCCCCGCAAATGTTGTCTTTTTATTTTTTGTGACATAGACTTGCCTTCAGGGCACAGTATCTTGTGCGTGCATGTGTAATAAATGTACACTGTTAGAGTAGTGTTGTGTACGAAATGAAGTAGTGTCTTGTGGAATGTGTTATCATGCATCCAGCTGTCGTAACTGGTTGTGTCGCTGTAGTGAAGGCCAGCTTGCAGGAAGTGACAGGAGTGTTTCGACTGCAACCCTTGGCATGTCCCATAAGGTGGTACGCATCTGCTTGCATCACTGGAGTAGCACAATACGGACATGTATTGCCAACTAGTAAATGTGACCAATTCCACGATGATATAACAGCTGGTGTAAGGGCCACCCGTGCCCGAAAGCCTCCTAAGCAGAACTTTCTCTGCCCTGGTAAGGTGAGGGGGAAAGAGCAGACACACTGTGGGATAAGAGTACATGTATTCTGCTGGAGAACATTTTTACAGGCACAAAGTGAGTTTAGTGGTTGAGGTGGAAGGAGTATAGCTGGAAGGTCTATATTCGGAAGGTAGCATACATGCTGGTCAGCAGCAATATTGTGCAGGTTCACAGCATGGCCTTGAATCCAACGTGCGTTGACATAAGTGGCTGTATTGCAGTTCATTTTATGAACTGCCTCGCATTTCCATCGTTTTGTGAACTTTTTTCGGCTTCTGGATCGGTGAATATGTCAGTTTGCTCAATTGTAGGCAGCTGAGAGATGGAATCCTGGACTGCATCGTGGATCACTTGATGTTTCATCACAAGACGGCTGGCTTCCGTAGATAACGCTGGTGATCATTGACAAAATTTTGCATAGTACTCAGGAATAATGTCCTTCCGCCGTCTTGTAGGATAGCAGCATCTGTATATTCTTTGCAGGTATCAGCGCATGGCACTTCAATGATGGAGCGTTCGTGAATTGTAACTGACGTCAAAAATACTTGCTTAACCTCTGCAACGTCACGAGGGGACCCCCTGTCTGTCTATGTCAAACCACAGAAATTTTCGACTGGACCAGAATGCTCAGATGAACACACATCCTTGCTTTAAAACCACATTAAAATATCTTATAGGCAACGCTCATCCCTAATACTCAATCAGAAGTGTGCACGTGTGCAGGACTCTCAAACAACAAAAGCATCTCGAGTTCCCATATTTAAAGCCATACGGTGTGGCTGTTTTACCATGCACTTTATACTATGCGAATGTCATTTTGCTTTTCTCTTGGATTTGTAACGGAAAGCCAGGTGACAACAGCGTTTCAGATCTAGTACACGTCATACATGAAGATCAAGTATAGACCACTGCTCCCAAACATGAAAAAAAATCAAGATGGAGGACTGCGCTCTTTGTTTTCTTTTACCAAGCTCGCGTAATTAAAATGCGACTGCTGTACAACCGAAGAAGACAGTGTTAGTTGCTGTCTGGTATTAGTGCGATAGCAATTATATGTACACTCTCGGCTGCATTTTGCTATTGGTATCGATGTCATGCACTGTATATGTATACGTATGTATATATATGAAAACGCAAGAAAGAAACTTGTGCACTCCAGATGGTTTGCGACGCACGAGCCAGCTGCGCGTGACCCATGTTGGAAAAAAAGAAGAACGTGGAGGAAGAGGCAGAAGTGAATCTTCGAGACAACTGGGAGATTTCGTTCTAGCTGTCTTATTATTCTCGGGCACAAGTTCGGCCTGCCTAGGTTAGCTTATTAAAAGTGTTTATTGAATTGTGCCTTACAAATCTGGTGGAGGTGCTGGGTACGATGCCAAGCCCCTCTCGAGTGACTAAGCACAGTCCAGAACCCCAGCGATTTGGACCCAATGAGCTGCCTGTTCATCAGCGCTGCAGTCGACGCTTACGTGGTGAGGGTCCTGAATATTCACCTTTATCAACTTCCCTTAGAACCTCAACGGCTGTGAATGGGTACGCAACCAACATGACAGCTCAGGTCACTCCAGCCAACATTGTAGTGAATCGGCCAATGCTACCAAAGCCTTTCCACGGCAAAATCTACGAGGACCCAGAAGACTGGCTTGAACACTTAGAACGCATCGCAAAGGCTAATGGATATGCAGAAGAGCGCAAACTTGGAAGTGTTTACTTCGCTCTGGAAGATAGCGCACGAACGTGGTATGAAAACCACGAAGCTACCTTCCAGTCGTGGGATGACTTTTGGCGGGAGATGCTCGCTGCTTTCCCGAACACAGACGGCAAAGAGAGAGCTGAAGCTGCGCTCCAGACATGAAACCAGCGCAATAATGAAAGTGTCGCCATGTATGTGAAAGACATATCTCGCCTATTCCACTGAGTGGATCTAAATGTGAGCGAAGACAGAAAGCTGCCTCATCTGATGCGAGACGTGAAGCAAGAACTCTTTGCCAGACTAATTCAAAGCCCGCCGCGCACCGTCGCCGAGTTTCGTTCCGAGGGGACTACAATGGAAAGGACGCTACTACAGCGAGCAAGGTTATGCAATCCGGATGCGGTCATCACTTCCTTGGACATGTTGCCAAGGACCCAGTCTTCGTTAACGGCATAGAAGCACTACGCCAGCTGGTGTGGTCTGTTGTGCGAGAAGGGCTCTAGAAGCAGCGCCTTGACCAGAGCACTCCAATGCTTTCGTCTCTGGCCGATGTGATCCGTGAGGAGGCCAGGCAGGTGGTACACGAACCTTCGAGCAACGCACAGCCAGAGCCGCCACTAAAACAGAAGACGAGAATGACGTATGCCCATGTGCTACTACGAGGACCTCCATGACGTACGGACGTCGGGGCGGCTACACCTAAGCAGTACCCGATGTCACCGAGCACCCTGCAGCCAACGCCAGAGAGGAGACTAAGGAAGAGCGATGTCTGGCGCACTGCCGACAGGATACTGCTTTGTTACCACTGTGGGGAGACTGGTCACTACCGCCAGGCAGGACTACGTGGTTTTCCTGTCAATGCACCTCGACCACGAAATGGTGAACGTCTCTTCGAAATTGAAGAATACCTGTCAGGTCGTCAAAGCTCAAGTGGCTTCCAACGACACCAACCTTGTGCAACGACAACGGGGAGGTGTAGGTCGCCTAGCCCCCGACCTTCAGCAAGCTCCCCAAGGTCTCGTACCCCAAGCGCGTGTCGGAAAAATAGTCGGCTACTTGTGGAGGCAAGGCCGCTGTCGATGCTAACGCAGAAAAACCTCCATTGCTTACTCTGAACGACGACCGACTCAGAAACCAAAGCTTCGATAGTGACGTTGCTTCCAATTTACGTGTGTTCATTGATGGCTACGAAGTCATCGGACTGGTAGATACAGGCGCAGATTATTCAGTGATGAGTAGCGGACTTTCTAAAATACTGAAGGAAGTGCTGACTCATTGGAAGGAACCACAAGTTATCACAGCAGGAGTACCTAATCCACCCTACTGGAATATGCACAGCAAGAATTGGAATACAAGGTTTCACATACGTTGCCAGTTTTATTGTGCTGCCGGAATGCTCAAGAGACTTGATTATCCACATCGATTTCTAACAAGCTAATGGTGCTGTAATTAACTTGCGAGAATCTTCCGTCTCATTTTCGACTAGGCAAGCGATTGCTATCTTTGAAACGGAAGAAAACGTATATGACCTTTGTATTGCAGACGATGACGTCATGGTGCCCCCAATATCGAGCATATCTGTCGCAGTAACCAACAAAGCATTCAATGAATTCAAAGGATTGGCTGACAACAATTCTGCCTTAATACTCCAAAAAGGGATCTGCATGGCACGAGGCCTTGTTAAGTTACAAGACTGATGTACAAATGTTCTACTTACAAACTTTGGAAATGAGGTGCAGCATGTTCCAAAGGGAACCGTCATTGCCAGTTTAAATGATTTCATCCAGGTTACACAGCTGTGCACTTTCGAAACCAATGAGTCTGATTTTCAAGACTTGGAGTCTG